TCTATTATATTAATAAAGTTTAAGTAGAAATAGGTGCCCTGTTTTAGGCTCACATATTAATGCTTAATAAAATGAAATAATTTAAATTGTTTGTAGCCGACAAGCAAAAAAGTTGTCTAAGAATATATATTTATTATTCATCATCATTATTTATGTCCATTAGGAAATAAACTAAATGTTTAGATTCTTTGAATCTAAACTATTCCCTCAGACAAAAGTCTGAGGGAATAGTGACTTTTTCTAGAGAAATAGCTGATCAGCATGCAGTGATTTATTTATTTATTATAATTTTTGATCTCTTACCTCAAACATGGTCTGCTCTGGAGCTGGTTAGATCTGCTGCACAAGTTACCATGGAGATGTCCCGCAGTACGTGGCAAACTGCCTTCATGATACTGAAAACTCAGGATTTACTCCGAAGTTACCTGGACAAGCACAAATCCTGCTTATCCCATCACGATAGTTATGTTATTTACTTATATTGTATTGTTACATTATTATTGTTCAGTTACAGACTTAGGGTAAGATCTACAGAAATAGCCTTTGTGATTTTTGAAGACTCCCAAAAATTGATGTGTTTAGATGGATGATTGTTTACAGGCAAAGCAGAGGAGGAAATACAAGACATCTCATGAACTAAACCATAAATTAATCCACTGTACACAAACTTTAGCCCAACCTATAACAAGTTAAGTTTTGTGCTCTGTGACTCATTTTGTGACATTTGAACATGATCTTAATTCACAACACATGCAAGCCTTAGTGGTAGTGGTTGTGCATAGGTTGACTGAAGTGTATTAGTGCACGAAAATAACATAAGAATATTAGTTTGCATTAATGCATTTAACATGATAAATAACAGAAATTTTGCCCTCTAGGTCACGTAATTCCTCCGGAGAACATCCTTCCCCTCGTGTTGTGTAGTGGCCCGTCTGGTCAGGAGCTCGAGTTCACTTTCCAAAACAGAGACACGCCTCGAATGGTAACTCACACATGCAGAATACTGAATGAAGTTTGCGTTGTTATTCATTGGTTACAGTGGTGTCATTTGACTGATGCACATTTGTTTGTTTGCAGATGGATGAGACCGGGCGCATTCTCTCCAACATTTGCAACGTGGTTCCCGGGGGCGTGGTGTGCTTCTTCCCTTCTTACGACTACTCGAAGAGGATCATTTCTCACTGGGAGGCCAGCGGTACACTTACTCGATTGGCTAATAAGAAGAAGGTACATTAGCTTTATATATTACTGGAAACTACTTAGTAAATACTCAAGTCACTAAAAAGAGTCAAAAGACATCTTGTCCTATAGTCTCTTAATTATCTAATCACACCTCTTCAGATCTTTCAGGAGCCAAAGAAGGCCAACCAGGTAGAGCAGGTGCTGAATGAGTTTTCCCGTTGTATCCAGGTAAAACTGCACTCTTGACACAACCGATCTCATAACTAAACTGATGATCATTAGGATTGTGTTTTACCACTGCCAAGCAATGATTGTCTTTTTTACTTTAGAGGTGTTCTGCGGACTGCAGTGGACTCACAGGAGCATTGTTGTTCTCTGTGGTTGGGGGAAAGATGAGTGAGGGAATCAATTTCTCCGATGATTTGGGCAGGTAATTGAAGGGCGCCGAACAAGCAGTTGTACACCGTTTTAAAGCAGGGAAAGTCAAAGTCATTTTACATCATGGGCCACATTCAGCCCATTTTGATCTCAAGTGGGCTGGACCATTGAAACTGGCCTTTCAGTCAGTGAAAAGAACTACACTTTTAGCTGAGATGTGTTAATATAAGAAAAAGACAGAATTATTTCCATTACCCAGACTGTGCTGTAATTATAAAACATGAAGTTTCTGTTCTCAGAAAAAATTTCCTATTTTTTTTAATTTAATTTTATTTAAAAAAAAAAAGACATTTCTAGCTGATAGTGGGGAAAAAAACAAGAACTTTTATGTCATTTAATTGTTTGTCTATTACTTAATTACTTCAATGTAGTTTGAATGGCCATGGGGGGAGGTCTTTATCAGCAAGAGAAGCAGGAAAATGTATTAAAATACAGTTAAAATATAAAATGTATTCCCTCCTTCACATTTTCTAAAACCGTGCAGTGAGCCAGATTGGAGTTTGGCCACTGGGTCTTAAATTTGAAACCCCTGGTTTAAAGTATATCACACTAATCAGTGTGGGTTTGTGCTTTTGATAACAGGTGTGTAGTGATGGTGGGAATGCCCTATCCAAACATCAAGTCCCCAGAGCTGCAAGAAAAGATGTCATATCTGGACAAACACCTGGTGAGACTCTTTACCAGCAGCTTCTACTGTGACTTCATTGTAAATAGAAGATTAGAGGGAAGGCGACATGCAGCTTAGTATCAAATCTCATCTTTTTTTCTATTTCAGCCTCACAGTCAGGGGAGGAGTCCAGGACAAGCTCTAATAGAAAACATCTGCATGAAGGCTGTCAATCAGTCTATAGGTACAGATAATGAAGTCATATTAATACATATCAATATCAAAATACAGTTTTATTAACTTGTGCGTGATATCCTCTGTTCAAAGGAAGAGCTATTCGTCATCGGGGCGATTATTCCTCCGTTGTGCTGTGTGACAGGCGTTACTCCCGGCCTGCTACGCTCTCTAAACTTCCCACATGGATTAAAGATCGCACTACCACGCACACGACGTTTGGGCCTGCTTTTGCTGCCTTACGAAAGGTGAGGAACATTACAGGGAGTGCAGAATTATTAGGCAAGTTGTATTTTTGAGGAATAATTTTATTATTGAACAACAACCATGTTCTCAATGAACCCAAAAAACTCATTAATATCAAATCTGAATGTTTTTGGAAGTAGTTTTTAGTTTGTTTTTAGTTTTAGCTATTTTAGGGGGATATCTGTGTGTGCAGGTGACTATTACTGTGCATAATTATTAGGCAACTTAACAAAAAACAAATATATACCCATTTCAATTAGTTATTTTTACCAGTGAAACCAATATAACATCTCCACATTCACAAATATACATTTCTGACATTCAAAAACAAAACAAAAACAAAGCAGCGACCAATATAGGCACCTTTCTTTGCAAGGACACTCAAAAGCCTGCCATCCATGGATTCTGTCAGTGTTTTGATCTGTTCACCATCAACATTGCGTGCAGCAGCAACCACAGCCTCCCAGACACTGTTCAGAGAGGTGTACTGTTTTCCCTCCTTGTAAATCTCACATTTGATGATGGACCACAGGTTCTCAATGGGGTTCAGATCAGGTGAACAAGGAGGCCATGTCATTAGTTTTTCTTCTTTTATACCCTTTCTTGCCAGCCACGCTGTGGAGTACTTGGACGCGTGTGATGGAGCATTGTCCTGCATGAAAATCATGTTTTTCTTGAAGCATGCAGACTTCTTCCTGTACCACTGCTTGAAGAAGGTGTCTTCCAGAAACTGGCAGAAGGACTGGGAGTTGAGCTTGACTCCATCCTCAACCCGAAAAGGCCCCACAAGCTCATCTTTGATGATACCAGCCCAAACCAGTACTCCACCTCCACCTTGCTGGCGTCTGAGTCGGACTGGAGCTCTCTGCCCTTTACCAATCCAGCCACGGGCCCATCCATCTGGCCCATCAAGACTCTCTCATTTCATCAGTCCATAAAACCTTAGAAAAATCAGTCTTGAGATATTTCTTGGCCCAGTCTTGACGTTTCAGCTTGTGTGTCTTGTTCAGTGGTGGTCGTCTTTCAGCCTTTCTTACCTTGGCCATGTCTCTGAGTATTGCACACCTTGTGCTTTTGGGCACTCCAGTGATGTTGCAGCTCTGAAATATGGCCAAACTGGTGGCAAGTGGCATCTTGGCAGCTGCACGCTTGACTTTTCTCAGTTCATGGGCAGTTATTTTGCGCCTTGGTTTTTCCACACGCTTCTTGCGACCCTGTTGACTATTTTGAATGAAACGCTTGATTGTTCGATGATCACGCTTCAGAAGCTTTGCAATTTTGAGACTGCTGCATCCCTCTGCAAGATATCTCACTATTTTTGACTTTTCTGTGCCTGTCAAGTCCTTCTTTTGACCCATTTTGCCAAAGGAAAGGACGTTGCCTAATAATTATGCACACCTGATATAGGGTGTTGATGTCATTAGACCACACCCCTTCTCATTACAGAGATGCACATCACCTAATATGCTTAATTGGTAGTAGGCTTTCGAGCCTATACAGCTTGGAGTAAGACAACATGCATGAAGAGGATGATGTGGACAAAATACTCATTTGCCTAATAATTCTGCGCTCCCTGTATTGTTAAAAACGTCCCCTTCATGATTGACATTTTAAATTTTCATATTGTGTCTGTATGTTCTTCTTTCCTAGTTCTTCCTGGAAAAGAAGCAGAAAAAAGCATAGTTCCTCTCCCAAAGGACCCAACTAACATCTCCCTAATATTCACGGAGACTTGTGTTAGGATGATAAGAAAATGATGTGCAACTGCAAGAGGGGAGGGGGGGGAAGAGACACAAAGTTCAATATCACACCACAGGCTTTTGAACATCTTGCACCCTTGTGAGTGCTGCTGGTTAAAAAAAAAAAAATCAGTCAGGCAGTTTTTCAGTTTTCATATTTATTATATATTTCATTTTTTGTACACTCTCTACATCTCGTTTTATTTAATGGCTGGAGAATGATGAATTTGATGGCACGATGCAAACAAAGGCTAACGGGGCAATTAACACTTCTAGTCAGGGTTATCCGTCTGAATCTCATAAAAGAAAATAACTTCTCTATTTTTAAGTTTGGCTTGTTAAAAACTACTTACTGAACAGCTACCACACATATCAGGCACAGCGCTGGCATAGCAAATACATGTGACTGATTTACTCCTGAAGTTTGAAATATTCGTAGAATTCAAAGCAATGTGTTATGTAATGCAAAGCCTGCAGATCCGTTCCATCATCATCGTTTAACATGTTCTGCTTAAATTAAACATTAGTAAATTGTTTGATCATTTGCATTTTCCTTTTTTTTTTTTAATAGTATTTCTGTGTTAGAAGGAAATTAAATCATTTTAAATAACTGTATCAAAGGGCATCGAATGTGGTGTTTGTCCATTACGCTTCCCAGTCGTCATCGTCTGTTGTCGCTGTATGTGGGGCAGGAAGTGGAGGGATGACATCTGACATCCTCGCAAATGCCCCAGAAGGACCGGCCGGAGCATCACCTGACTCTCCACCAGCTGGACCCTTACCAGATATTCCTGAACAGAGGATAGAAGACATTATGCAAATTCAATCACTAATATCAGTATTTTCAATTTCATTTGACATAAAACGGGCCTCTAACCTTTTCGTCGCATAGCAAGTTTGTTGAAGAGATCAGACATAAAGTCTCCACCACCGGCGGCCGCTCCCACTGCTATTTTAGAAGGAAAAAAAAGAGTAAATAAATAATCATGCTACCAGTATTTTTTTTAATTTGCAATTGGAAGAGATTATGGTCTCACTAATTCCCCAGTGCTGCACTTCAAAGTGAAGCATATAATTACAAGACTTTTTTTTTCTTAATCTAGTTATTCAGTCAAGGCAGTTCTCTTGAAAAAAGAAAGAAATGTAAGGTCATGACCTGGCGAGAAAATGAAAGGGCCAGAGATATGCTGTCTAATATTAGGTAAAACAGTTTTTAAGTACAATCGTTGGTTGGTATGAAACTGAAGTCACACAGTTAAGCATATGTGATAGTCAAAAACGATCTCATCTTAACATTCAGTGTGAAATACTGTATAAACTCCTGGTTGAATACTAATTAGGGGCTGGTCACGCTCCACTTTGCCTGGATGACTGCCGTGTGCTCATTAATAAAACATGGGCAGAACCACATCCACGCTCAAACCATCTGACACCTTGTTCTTGCTCCTTTTGTTTCTTCTTCTCCAGCTTGCGTTCCTTAACGTTGCGTAACTTGGCTTTGCCGATGCCCCCGGCGTTGCGGATAGACTCCAGCAGGCTGGCACGGCCATCTGACGGCTGGACCACCTCGCTGGGTGCACCCGACACAGGACCTGTATTTAGAGGAGCCAGTGAGTCAGTGTGGTCTGGGTTTACATCACTGAGGTCAATCTAATTTATGAGGACAAACATCATTTAGTCCGTGTGTGCGTGTGCATAACTGAGGGAACAGGCTTTAAGACACTGTCAGGTTCGCTCCAAGTCAGCAGTGTAGAGCCTGTACGAGACTACTGACGTGCATAAATGTGACAAACCTGAACTTGGCACTTGGGAAACTTCTGCGGAGCTGTCTGCAGGAGGGGGTGGTGGAGGTGGCGGAGGAGGAGCTGACGCCGGAGCTGCGGGAGGGAGGGAAGGCTCCGGAGGAGGGGGCGGGGGAGGTGGCGGAGGTGGTGTGCCATCAAGCTGGAGCTGAGTTCCTGAAACAAGCAGATGAAATACTGTATAACACTGGAAGAAAATTTGATCTATTTATGTAGCATCTTTTCAGATATCACAAAAAGCTTCACAGTAAAAGACAAATGGGCACAAAATGATTGAGGTTCACAACTAGAGATGGACCGATCCGATATTACGTATCGGTATCGGTCCGATACTGACCTAAATTACTGGATCGGATATCGGAGAAAAATAAAAAATGTAATCCGATCCATTAAATATCACGAAAGCACCTCACAAAACTTGCAACACTTGCATCACGTGATAGAGCAGCTGTGGCATGCGGGACCTGTCAGTGGTCTGGATAGCATGTGGAGCTTCGCTAGCAACCCGGCATTTCATCTCCGACAAAGTTATCCCGAGAGAAGTAAAGCAAGTGTGTAAGTCCATCTCTGAATGTTTGTAAAGCATTCCTGCGTTAAGCTTAACAAGCCTCTGCCTCTTCTTGCTGCTACTTCAATCATGAAACTGCTTAACGATCAGCTGATCGGCTTTTCTGTCGCGAGTCTGTGTCTCTAGTTTGCTTTTGGCCCACTTTGCACCAGAAAGAGGAAACCATCGGCTGAACAACAGCAGCACGTTTAAGCTTGATCAGCTATTGTTAGAATGTATTTAATATTACTTTCTACTCGAGGATCTTTTTCTACGTAGCTGACGGCTGGTAACTGTGCAGGGGCGGATCTAGCAAAGTTTAGCCAGGGGGGCCGATAGGGCATGAACAGGGAAAAGGGGGCACAAAGACATACTTTTCTTTCTTATTCTCATTTAAAATGTCTAGCTTTTAATAAATAATTATCTGACACCCAAAGTTTTAATTTGATGCAAAATGAATAGAAGTCCATTACTGTATATAGTGACTATTAAGTCTAATATACCCTAGTAAGCTATACTACTTTTTCCTTTGGGAAGGTACCATCTGTGCAGTCTGCAATTTTGTTGAAGAAAGATGTTGAATCTATTTAATATTTCTTGAAAAATAATTGATTTCTGTGCATTTTTTTCCACACTGCATCAAATTAAGGTTGATTACGTCGATTAAGCATCATGAGGTGGAGCGTGAGGGGTGGTTCCCTATTTTTTATTTATTTATTTTTGTTGTTGCTGGGAGTTGGAACCCTATTAGTTAGGTTGCTTAATATTTATGCTAAGTACTCTTTAAAATACCAGAATAGGGAGGATGGTGTAGGTTTAAGTTTATTAGATTGATCAGTATTGCTGTACTATGAAATATTTTTTTTTGCATATAGGTATAACAGAATAGCTTTAGTGTAGTTGTTGTTTTAAACTTGAGTATGAACTTATACAAAATGCAGCAAGATATTTAAAAAACAGTTTTGTTGATTAAAAAACACCATATCGGATTCATATCGGTATCGGCAGATATCCAAATTTATGATATCGGTATCGGACATAAAAAAGTGGTATCGTGCCATCTCTATTCACAACATAAGACATCTACCTGGTGCACTGCTCTCCTCAGAGAAGCAGGGCAGCTCGGGGATGTTGTGTGTGGGTCCCGAGGGGGCAAATCCAGGTCCGAGGTCTGCGCTGTAAGACAGGTCGTCTGCAATACCTGGCAGGTCTGGCAGGTAGGACGGCACATCTATCTCAGGCACTTGACCCAGGTCTGGCACATAGAAATAACTCTCTGCTATCTGTTAAGAGAAAAAGAAAACCATGATTAAGTTTTAACAGATCTGATCCTTCACAGAAAAAAAAAGGAAAAGTCAGAAGGTACCTGTCTCTCCAGTTGCTCTCTCTTTGTAATGGACAGAGGAGCATCGAATGGTTTATCTTCTTTTTCCGTCTCTAGTGTTGTGTGCGTTTTTGTCACTGCTCCCGCCAAAGGATCAAGAAACACATATTTCTTATATCTTTAAAAAAATAAGACACAAATTAAAACATACGAGAGAACATTGAAATCAGTCAGTGTTTACAATAAACATCTGTGTCTGTGCTGGCGTGTGCAGACTCACAGATTTTCTGTGGTATTAAAGAGCAAAAGAGAGCTGACAGATGAGATGTTACGCGGCAGACTGCCCAATCCTTCTTCTGTCTCATCCTCAGTCTTCTTCTTATTTCTCACGCACACAGGGAAATACATTAACTTCTCCTGAAAGGAAGAAAGCAGGACTTGGAGTGAGAAGGAGATCAAGAAAATGTTAACGAAATCTTTAGCAACGCATATCGTAAATGTCATCAAAGTGCTCCTGCGCATAGATGCACACAAACTACAACACCAAGTTATATGTTAGGGGGTATTGCTTCTGTTGAGGGGGGTACTGAATAATGCATTTCTGCATCAGAGACAAATGCCAGCTTTATTTTCTTTTTTGTTCCCTTCCCAAGCCGACAAATACACACAGATACACAAACACGTGCAAGCACAGGCAGGAAAAAATATTATTTTTATATTTTTTCCTGTTAAGTTTTCTGTAACGGTGAAGGAAAAACAGTGGTGTTTGCTATAAATAATGAAGGAACTTGTGCTGAGCAGAGCACGTACACACAAGAACCACTTGGGGGAAAAAAAACACATCTCTTGTCACTGTGCGGTGACACAAATACAGCTGGGTTCTGATATCCCATTTACATACATCACATACAGTATGTGACAACTTCAACTGTGACTCATGTGTAGTTAAATCTACAGAAAAGAAGGGACATGCCTGTTGCGGCTTTCGATACATGATTGACAAGCTGCATTTTTCTACAAGTCTATGTTGTTTTCACCTCCATTTTACCTCCTGAATAAGTACTAAATTGCAAGTAAAAGCAACAGAGTGCACATACAATTGGCTGCTGTGTACTACTTTGCAGTATTTTTTAAACAGACAACATAACCTACTTGGCCTGAAAATGTTTACTTAGCAAAACAGGAAATACGCAGGCCGAGTGGAGATTTATGCATAAACATGTTTCACAAGGTTTACAGGGCATTCACATCCAGTCAAGCATTCACTTGAAATATCAAAGTTTTAAATCAGGTCAAAATAAAATGTGTGTAATTTAAGGTATTACCCACATCACTATGGATATATCCAAGACCAAGACTCCTGCAAATGCTCTAAAGCTTTAAAGTGGTTTGCCCAGCAGTCTGCATAAATATGACCAGTGTGCGCAGAGTCCCCATGCCCTCATTTGACTAGAACGTGAGGTGTGGATAAAAGCTATGTAAATAAAGTTAACCGTGTCCATATTCCTGTTTTCTACCTGCTGTTTTAGCAGCATGAGCTGAACAAAGAAGCAGCAACACTAACTAGTCAGCAAACTCTTTTAAGACATCAGCTTTGCGAAAATAAAATATGCAATGTGGCTCTTAGCAAGTCACAGTCATCATTTTCATAATTTTGAAAATTGCTTTTCAAAACCTTTGCTCTTTCCCCCCCCAACATTTTAATGTGTTGATCTCACCTGCAAAGCCTTTTCATCAAAGGGTCGCAGTTTATTCTGTATTCTGTGTCGGGGCCGTGTTTGTGAAGAGGGGTCTGTAGCTCCAGCGAAGATAGACAAGTAGTCCTGAAGTTGATCTGGGGCTGGGTACTTGGCACTGGAGAAAACCTATATGCACATAAAATAACATTTTTACTCTTTTTTTCTCCTATATTCTGTATCAGAACTTAAAAAGCTGCCTTCTAGGGTGAAGATTCAGTGTTACCTTGGTGGCTTTCTTGCTGCCTTTAATCTTGTCGACACGGGCCTGAGCTAGTCTGATCCGGTCAGTGATGCTCTTGAGCTGGTGACGGTTTTTCTCGACACTGTCTGACACCCTGCAAGCAACAACAACTGAATATGGGCATATGCACATCTACACACAAAGGATAACCGTATGTCAAGGATACTGCACAATCCAGTTCTTTATTATATATCCTGCAGAGTCCCGAAACCCCCCAAAAGGAACTGAAGACTCCTACAATTCATTGAGATTATGTATAAGTATCAAATGCCACTCTCATGTTTTATCAGTGATCTACTTATAAAAAGCTCATGTTTCAAAAGTTTACATGGCCAAAACTGTTCTGTTCATAAATGTTATTGTTTCCATGCTGTCACAGGCAACACCTCCTCTGTTTTCAGGGTGCCAGACAGGACCATCTGTCCTCAAGCAGCTGCTGTTTGTTAACGGTGCAATCTATTAAATATGACAAAGCTTTTTGGCCCATGAGCAAACTTGCAACAGCTGCTGTTATATCTGCTACCAATTCATTTTGTGCGTTATTAAAACCTGTTCTTTTGTTGTTAAACACTCTTTGCTACCTAGCCTGAGCAAATGCAGAGATCACTACTGTTGAGTTTTTTTAAAAACTCTGTAGCTTTAAAACTTTTTGCTATTTTGAAAATCTGATAAGCTAAAATTGATCAAAGTAACCTTTAAATAAATGACACTAAAAATGAAACAATCCCTGAAACAGGCTCTGGAATAACATCTGGCTCACTCCTACCCTGAATAAAATGTAGTGGTATAAACTGAAGGAATAAAACAATATCAATAATAATGAATTTGTATAATACATTGTATTACTACAATGTAACCACAAACAACAATGTAATTTCCCTATTAATTTCATATTCATCCCGTATTTGCAACCATGAAAATGTAAACAAAGAAAAAGACTGCAAACCCAGTGATTCAGTTTACAACCAAGAGTCAAACACTGCGAGACCAACCTGGAAACTGGAAACTGTGTGTGTGTGTGTGTGTGTGTGTGTGTGTGTGTGTGTGTGTGTGTGGTGGGCTTGCCTTCTGAAGATGTCTGTAGAAATGTTCTCCAAGTACATCAGTGCGTCTGCTATCTGATGAACAGCCTCCTCCCTCCTCAGGTCGGGCTGGATGAGAGGCACAGAGTACACCTGGCCCTCCAGGCAGTGCTTCTGTGTCATCCTGCAAAGCAAGAGAGCAACAAAGTTGAATCAAACTGTACCACTGTGTTGTAATGGCATATTCTCATAGTAAGGATTGCATTCCTGACAAACAATATTGTTAAAAATACCATGCTGAGTATCAAATTTATGAGGGCTTATGTCATATGGCAATCTCTCTCGCTGTCTCTGACTGACACTGACACACACACACACACACACACACACACACACACTTCACGTCTGACTCTCACATGACGGCGCAGGAATATTATATCATTTCTTTAACCACAGCACTATGTGGACTCTTTTTATCGTCTTCAGCTGGTCAGAATTTTCTAAAAGCTAATAGCTCGAACGGTAAATAAATCTGCACCCAAATTGCTGAAGATATTATATTTCAAACAGCTGATCTCCGTAATGAAATAACCCGACATCTGACACCTCTTAATCCTAAATGCAGAATATCCGTGAGCATAGCCATACCCGTTTAAAGACTTGTTTTACTAGAAAGACAGTCTCACCTGACCATGAGTGTTGTTTACGACCACAAAAACAGTATAATGGGAAAAAAAATGTGTCGACGATAGCCACTCGTTTAGCAAAACAACAGTTTCGCACTTCCGCATCCGTGTAGCACGTGACGACTCAGCAATTATTGTGTTGCTTTCAGGAACACTCGGAAATCTCTCGTTTAGTGCAGCCTACGCTTGAACTACGTCAGTAAACCGAAGTATTGGCTAAGAGCAGAAGTAAATGGCAAGAGCACTTCTCAGAAAATGTGTAGGCTTTCCTGCAGAATTCTAGAAAGAATTCTGGACGATTCTAGCACCAGTTTTTTACAGAACGTTGTTGGAAATCAAAGAAAAGGGCAGACTTCCATCAAATATGAATTCTGCAAACATGAATCTCCTGCTAAAACCAGGCAAAGACCCTGTATATCCCTCAAGCTATCGTCCAATATCCCTTATAAATGTAGACCTTAAAATAATCTGCAAAGCTCTCTCAAAGAGATTAGAGAAAATAACCCCCCTCTTAATTCATCCTGACCAAACTGGTTTCATAAAAGGTAGGCACTCATCAACAAATACACGTAGATTACTTAATTTGATGGACTACTTATACAGTAAAAACCTTGAAACGACAATATTTTCTTTAGATGCAGAAAAAGCATTTGACAGAGTAAATTGGAAATTTCTATTTGCAACTTTACACAAATTTGGTTTTGGAACCTCTTTCATTAACTGGTTAAAAATATTATACAATTTCCCAACAGCTTGTGTCAAAACAAATGACCAAACATCCTCCAGCTTCTGTCTCCTGAGGGGCACCAGGCAAGATGCCCACTCTCCCCTTCACTGTTTGCAATTTTTATTGAACCACTAGCAGCAGCAGTTAGACAGAATTCAGTAATTAAGGGCATAAAATGCAAGAACGTGGAACATAAAATCAGCCTTTATGCGGATGATGTGTTACTTTTTCTCCAAAACTCACAAACCAATATCTCTGGGGTGATTGAATTGATAAACTCTTTTGCAAGAATATCAGATTACTCAATTAACTGATCAAAATCTACAGTCCTCCCGATTAATTGCTCCTTCCATAATTCTTCTTCTACACCACTGCAATCGGGAAATATAAAATATTTAGGTATTAATGTTTCTCCCAAGCTTGTAGATCTGACTAAATTAAACCATATCCCACTTTTAAAGACAGTAGAAGGCGATCTGGCTAGATGGAAATGTTTACCCATATTACTCATGGGAAGGGTTGCCGCTATAAAAATGATGGTCTTACCAAAAATAAATTATTTCTTCTCAATGATCACAACTACCAACTTTCAGCACTACTAGCCAAAAGGCTTCAGTTTATCTCAGGATGGCTAAAACATACCCTCTTAGATGAACCTTGGCTAGATGTAGAACAAGCACTTCGCAATAATCTAGAGATCTCAGACCTACCATTTATCAGCTCAAACATCCAACGACATCAATGCTTCAAAAGCATCAGCATCAGCTCTTCTCTGACAGCATGGTGGGAGTTTCTAAAATTGACGGAGTCTTCATTAATCCCATGCAAGCGTACACCTATCTGGAACAACCCTGACATATTACAAAACAATAATATGATAAACTTTCCAGATTGGAGTGGTAAAGGAATCAAATACTTAGAACATATATTAGAAGGATCAGAATTTATTCCATTTGATAGACCAAAACTTCTGGACTCAGATTTGCTTAAAAACCTTTCATTTAATTAGAAATCCCAGTCTTCAATTAATTCAATACAAAATATTACATAGAGTGCACTATACAGGTCATTGGATGTTCAAGATGGGCTTTACGTCTACCAACAACTGCTCACACTGCCAAACCAATTCACCGGACAATTATATCCATGCTCTTTGGTTCTGTCCACCAGTTCAGAAGTTTTGGCGCGAGATATGTGAAGACTTATCGAAGTGTCTGAAATGTAACATTCCAACTTCCCCTTTAGTGAGTTTGTTGGGCAGCTTAGATAATGTCACTACAGAAAAGAATATAGCCCATATGGTTTTCACTGCCCTATGCATAGCCAAGAAAACAGTCCTCATGAACTGGAAAAATAAAAATAATCTTAATAATAATATAGAAATGATCTATTAGATTACATTAGTCTTGATACAGCCTCTGCCACCACATCAGATCAATTACTCTAGGCTCCTTTGATCAGCTCCATCACCTAGTGGGGGTGGGGGGTCATAGTTTGGTCCCACCTTTGCTGTTGTGATTGGTGTGGGGGCAGGGATAGGCTTGGGGCGTCGGGGGGTTCCCCAGGAGCATCTTCCTTGGAGGGCTCAACCCGGGGTTGCGGTCATGGCCTATTAAGGGCTCTGTTGGCTCTTAGGTGACGGTTTCCTCGTGGTTGCGTGCAGCGGGGCTAGGGGAGGGTCTGTGCTGATGGACGCGGGTTACTGACTGGTAGCCTGGCTGCCCCTGGGTGGGTCCGGGACGGGCGTGGGGTTCTGGGGGTGCTCCGTCTTTGGGCTGGGGCCCTGGCTGGGCCTTGAGGGCTTGGGTCCTGGTTGGTGTGTTGCTGGGGTTGTGGGCGGGTGGGTGTATGGGGGCCAGTGCATCGAGCCACCTGGGGGGCTCTTCAACTGGTGGGGGAGGCTGTTACATCTTGCAGGAGGTCTCCTCTCTTCAGGAACTCACTCTGCAGGAGGGGGAGATACAGGAGAGGTGGAGGAAGATCTCAGCCTGGGCGTCTATTATCCTGTGTAGTCTGGAAGATGAGTGGATGACGGGGTGGGAGGAGGAGTTGGCCGTCTGATTGGGGTCTGGAATGTGGGGCCTCCCTGCTGCTGCCGAGTCGGGGCAGTCTGCTTCTCTCCACCCCAGGGAAAAGGGTAACACTACCTGGGTCTGGGTGCAGTTTCCCCCTCCAGGGGCAAGGGTACCTATGTCTGTCTCCAAGTTGGATGAGTGTTGAGTAATTGCATATGAGAGCATGAGGGTGGGAATGGATGTCTGTATCTGTGTGTGCCTGTATGGCTGTGTCTATATGTCAGGTTGGGTATCAGACGCCACCTCTCTGGGGACATCTCAGGCCCTCCAAGGTATGGAGGCCTATCTCCCCCCACCACTTCCCCTGCCAGTGGCAGACGCCCTCAGACATCGGTGCGTTGGTGGTTCTTTGTGTCCGGGGGTGGGCGTCCAGGACACAAAGAACCTCACTTCTTGGTGGCTGCTTGTCGGGGCCTGGAGCCTGGGGCTCGCTCGGGCCACTTCGGGGGTGGGGTGCCCTCAGCCTCTCGGCCTGGGGCTCGGTCACTCTGGCACAGCTGGCTGCCGACGGAGCTCACGGGCGCGTCACTGCAACCCCCCCCCCCCGGCTTCTGGCTGCCCCTCTGTTGGTCTTCCTTGGTCTCTTGTGTTCTGAGGGCCTCTGGATGTCTGGAGTTTTGATCTCTTCCATACCTGCTTCATGCCCTGGAGGACGGGGCTGTGGCCCCCCACACCCTCTTGCACTTCATTACATGAAGGAACCTTTTAAAAACAAGCGCGACCATGCTCACAGGTGTACACACGGGTGCTCACACACACACACTACACCCTTTTTGGCTCCTACCTCAAAGCACACTGTGTGCTGTCGATCTTACGTGCTGCACAACAATGTTTAATATTTAGTATTTACTGTTATATTCCCATAGATCATCGTGATGTTGTTTATTATGTTGCTCTTTTTTTTTCTTCTGCTTGTTTTCTCTTTTTTCTTTCTCAACAGGTGATCCAGGTGATTGATACATGTATTTTTTGTCTGCTTAATTCGTTGGTTTTTGTTTTTTGCCCTTTATCCCCGTCCCTCTTCCCCGCTGTTTTTCTTTCCCTCTTTTTTTCTCCCCTTTCTTTTCCCCAGTCAAGTCTGTCCCATATTTAGCAAGTGAAAATAAAATAAAATAAACAATAAAAGGTGAATCAAATAGACCATTACGGCAAGGCTGGGATGGTCCATTTGGCAAAGTAAATCCGTTGGGCATCTTTCTTCGCCTTTAGACAACAATTCTGATGGCAAAGAGACAAACGGGACAGGCCAAAAAAAAAAAGTATAGGCAACGCAAACATAAATAAGCAAACAATAATATAAAAGTCTCTAAGTTTTGTATTATTTGACTTTTGTGAATGAGTGTTTAGGTCAAGGCACCATGAGACGTTCAATTGTCTTTGCATGTAATACATCCCCCCCCCCTTTTTTTTGGTTCCGTATTGTTTATTTCTATATAGACAATTTCGTACGAACTAATTTCACATTCTGGAGCATTTATAGTGTTAACTTAGTTTTTATGGGCCTTTAAATTACATACAAAGCTCAGGGGCAAGATGCATCGTAAGATGCACATGCTACACAAATACACCGCCTTGCGATTGTTTAACCAAATTCTTAGATTTAAAAGAAAAAAGGATTTTGTGTGCAATAAATCAGCTTCACATACTAGTCCACAAACTAAAGATGCTCCGTAGAACTCCTTGTAGCTACCTATAGGGCGCGTGCTAGGACCGTGCTCGTGTCTGTGCGTGCAGTGACGCATCCATCCTCGAGCACCTCCCCTCCTCCCTGCTGTCACATCTGGAGCTGGCTGCTCTCATCAGCACCACTCAGCGCAGTGTATGTGTGTGTTTGAGAGAGAGCGAGAGCGAGTGAGAGAGAGTGAGGGAGGGAGTAAACGACTGGAGAAGTGGAGACTGACTTGGTCGGCGTAGCCTCATCCACAGCCGAACAGAATCAAGGAGAGGAGAGCGGAAGGACATCCCACGCCACCTTCTCATCCGCACTCACAAATAGGCTGTTTTGCATCTCCTCTGTCCTCCATCCGCGCGTCCAGGTTCTTTCCCCCCTCTCTCTCTTTCTCTTCCTTCCTCTTGCTGTGGGTAGCGTATGATGAGCTCCAGCCTGCTAGAAAACCCGGTGCAGGCGATTCTGTACCTGCGGGAGCTTACCACCATCGTCCAGAATCAGCAGAGTCTCATCCAGACCCAGCGTGCAAGAATAGAAGAGCTGGACCGGAGGGTAGATGAGCTGATCGGCGAGAACAGACACCTGCGGGACGTCAGGATACAACAACAGCATCCTTATCACCACCATCACCACCATCACCACCCCGACCCCAGCTGCCTTCATCATCACCACCACCATCCCCAGGACCCCCCGCTCAAGACTAGTCCGGGGTCTTTGCCAGATGCGGCTTCACCAGCACAAGTCGAGGCGGCTCCGGCTGTCCAGTCCTCGCCCACCCAACCTATGGACCCAGGAGACATGCAGCTGGTCCCAGCCGAGCCATCCACAATTTCGCCGGTTGAAAGTGAGTCCGAAAACGGTGGAAGTTGCCACAGCTGCCGCTCTTTGGTTCCGATGACCCCGACAACCCTTTGTCGGTCTTTGGCCCTGGCCAGGAAATCCGAGTGAGTAGAAAATATTAGAGCCTTTGATTGTTTGCATGTATGCGTGTGCGCCAAAACGCTCCAGATGCCTATATACATAGCCTAGTGGCTTTTCAAAAAGTAGCTCTATAGCCCATAATTTCAAACCTCTCGCGTTAACCTGACTTATTCGGCTGTATCAACTTCAAGCCAAAACAAATTTCATATCTTCCATATTACGGGCTAGCCTGTTGTCGAATCCAGCTTTTGTCTGAAACTGTGTAATTAGGCGCATCCACGTGTGCGTGCGCGTGCTCTGCAGATTGAGAGGCGTTTAATTAAAGAAGAGGGCGCTTGCAAATTTCCAATTTTCAGCTCTGTGTATGTGTGTGCCGACCAAGGACCGTGCCAGGAGAGGAAGAGGTGGATTATTTAAATGAGAAACTGGATCACGATCACTGGATCATTACATAACAAACAGCTGGAGGCCTGTACGTGTGTTCGTGCGCGGGCGCGCGTGTGTGAGCGAGAAACACACTCAGCGCAGCGGTCAGAGTCAGCAGGAGACAGAAGCAGCTTCACGTGTGACGATGACACACCTCTAGCCGCTGTCCGTGTTTGCTGGCTTTCCTTGTCAATTACCACCAGGGATCTACAAGCTCCCACGGGATCTCAATTCCTCTGATGTTCCCCTGGTAGATGAGATACACAGCTACACACCACAAACCACACACACACACACACACACACACACACACACACACACACACACACACACACACACACACAGTACCGCCTCCTGCTTGTCACCAGAGCTTCACAGAATATCACCCTAATGAGGGAAGACCCATGTTTCTCTCTTTGCCAGAGTGTGTGTGGTGTTCTTTCTGTTCATAAGTTTTCTATCAGCAGGAGCCATTATTGGTCTCTCTGGGACTCCACCCCCACTGAGGGGAGCAACACAGAATGAAGTTGTGATGAGAGGTGCAGAGGAGCACATATTAACATTAGTGATATTAATCCAAAAGTGCACATGATCATGCATCTTACAGTCGCAGCTCCATGTGCACGAGTGTGTGTGTGCAGAGTCCCTGTTGCTCCTCTGGACCCTGTTGCACTGCGTTGACCCCAAGTTGTTCCTGAACGTCTTACTCTGCAACGACAATTTATTGCTCAAGAAACAGTATTACACAGATTCTTAATTATAATTAAGAAGAGGGGAAGAAATTACAATAACAATAATTTTTTGTTATTAAAAGAGCTCAGAGCTTGGAGCAGAACATCCCCCAGATGAGTAGGCTGCTGCAGAGCAGTTGGCTAAATAGCCCTCTTGCTCCTGTGGGTACTGATGTATGTCCTTGAATGCAACCTTACGCCTCTGCTCCCTCAGTGATTTTAAGTCTTTTGGATTAGACCAGTAGCCTAACACCTAATGTCTACTTTTGCTTTTGGCAAGCCAAGCAGGAGAGGAGGAGAAAAGCTTTTCACCTCCCTGCTCCATCCTGTCTGCAGCTAACTGGAAATCAGATCTCTGCTCCATTAGTCCTGTTGCCAGCTAATTAACCTGTATAAGTTGTGTGATTGTGCATATGCATATGTGCTGGCATGCCTTCGTTCACACATCCCACTCTATCAGTTAATTTGAAGATTTATTTTAACTCACTATCGACTTTTGTGACAAACAGAGACATGTGGACTAGAGTTCTACATTGGGTTGGCTGTGAGTGTATTTATGTTTGCATTGTCACAGAAACCAATGGATATGCCTATGGGGGAGAGGCAGGATCCTCTCCTCCACTCATTCTCAGTCTTTCTTTCCAGCTGAGCCTTCTATCTGCCCCACTTAGCCCATGGAGCGAACAGTAATCAGCCATTCTCAGGAGAGGGAAAGGCAGAGAGATATAAAGAGAAAGAGAGACATGCATGCCCAGTTGTTGTCTTTGATGGAGCCCTTGGAGGTGTCTAGAGGAAGGAGCTTGAGGCTGACACTGTGAATGGACCGCTGAAAGAGAGGGGAGTTGAGAGAGATGGGAGGGTGGTTAAAAGAGGAAGAGGAGGCAAAGAGAAGCACATTCATTGTACAAAAATTGAGACAGGTACAAAGAGAGAGTAAAACACACACAGAAAAAAAGAGCTGTCTCCACGATCTATCCGTCTGGCAAACAAATGCAAAGGCTGAACAACACGTTGCTATCCTGTGGCGGCATGAAATGTGCATACAAAGAACTAGTAATGTTTTTGAGTCCAAATGGAGCTGATCTTGTTGCATGCCAACCCTCCTCCATCGCTCCTCTCGCCTTACACTTTGTACTGGGTACTGGCTGATGAAAGGCATTGCGTTTTAAGTGCTCTTACAAAACAGGGAAGAGGAGAGGGGAGGTGCAAGAGAGAGGACAGAGCTCACAGAGAGAGAAAGAGAGAGAGCCAGAGAGAACATAGGCCAACAGCAGGAGGCATGTCCTGTTAAAATATTCACCTGTTCTCTTTGTAAGTGTTGTTGCAGACGAATGGCCGTTACGTGTGTGCCTTGTACAGACAGATGGACCCGCTGAGTGTTTGTGTGCGAGTGTGTATATGAGTAGCCTATGTGTGTCTGCTCAGGCTGGCCTCTTCTTCCCTGTATGACCAAATAAAACTGAGCAGAGCTGAACTGTTTTATATTAGCCTGACAAAAACTTCCAACTCTCATCATGATGGACAAACTGGAGTTGACTTTGGGAGTTGAGGTCTTACAACAACTGCCTGAACAGTCAGCTCCTATTTAAACCAGTATAGTTAAAAATAGGCTATATTGTATTTGCTTTCCTTTGGAGAGTTAGAGGATGAATGATCTTTATCTTATCATTTTGATACGTTAAACACGAAGCTATAGCCTAGCAGGAGTAGATGAAAAATAAAAGTGAAAAAGCAAACCCACCCCCCTGCATATTTTAAAGTTCCTAAATTAAAATGTCATATTGCTTTATTTAATCTGTGCAAACCCCAAAGTGCAAGCAAGAAAATTTGTAGTTTTACACTGTAGTATTTCTCGGCCAGATTAATTAATTCACTGGACTCAAAGCAAGTAGTCTGGGACAAAAAAATACCATGGTCAGCAACCCCTCTGCAATCTAGTCGTAACTTTAAACTCTTCTCGAGATGTGGCTTCGTGCTGTGCGTCTCCTCTTCTAAACTTGATGAAAGCGAATTAATTTACTTTCCAAAATGTAAAAAGTGTTCCATGTTTTCTTTCAATTGCTGATGTGGTAACAGTATCAGTCATATGGCTCTCCATTTCATCGAGGTTGTGGCCTCAGAAATAGTTTCACCCTGCAATTTAGTGTAAAGACACTCTTTTATATTTGATGACAAAGATCCGTGACTGAGCTGTGTCTTCCATAAACTCTGAGCTTTCACACAATTTCATTTTTCTGCTCACCTGTCAGTCAGATGTGCATTAGACAAAGTATATTTTGGCATCATCTCATCCAAAACCAAAATAGACGGTGAATGGCACAGGGAATGTAGTTTACAGGCTTACGGGGATGTTTAAACTCCTTCAGTTGTTGAGCCAGCGATCGATTCCTGGCTCCTCCAGTTCACGCACTGAAGAGCCTTTGAGCAAGACACTAAATCCCACATACGACCCGTTTACATCCATAACTGATAAAGCATCGTACCCGCAGAATAATACAGTCTACAGTATAAACAGATTTGAATCAGATTTTTAATGCAAAGCATTTTGAGTGCTTACTAAGATTAAGAAATACTAAGAAATTGGCTTTTTAAATGACAATTTACAGCATCAAAACCTCATCAAGTGTAAAATTAATAAAAAGCAGATCAAATTACTTTAAAAACATGGAAACGTCTCAAACTACAAAAAGGTTTGTGGCTATATAGAGTAGATCAGGTGTTAAAAAGTAAGATTTATTCAAGTGTGTAGACTTGTTTTAACCTGCAGGAAAACTAGAGGGGGACCGTGTTACTGTTTATTAAACATCTATCTGCGTACTAAAAAAAAGGGGGGAAAGGGAATATTCTTTGACAAGCATGTTTGAAAATTACTTGTTTCAGATGTATGACAGAGCAGTTTATGTTTTTAGCTCCAGTGATTTCAGAAAGTCCTCTTAGCTTGATATATTCCCTTTTTTGCCCCGCTTTACCTGATGTTTAAAGCGGATCAACGGCACAACAAAGACAACAACTACAATGGAAAAATTAATATTCAGATCTAACATGATTGTTTTGGAAATTTTTTGAACCTCCTGGGATCAAGCTGTTAACAGAAGAGTGTGAAAATTACTGCAAAACCTGCAAAACAAAACCCAAAAAAGATGAATCCAGGTATAATAACTACTCTATAAATGCCACAAAAAGCAGTTCTTTGTGTCAGAGGTGTCACTGGGGGGCTTAGGTGTTACAACAGATGAAGCAGTATTATTCATACCAAATAAATATGAATAATTTTTGCCATGCATCTTTTAAAAAAATGAAGACAAAAACCCCCACAGTGTCCCTTTAAGTCTGTGGAAGTTGCTGTGAAACGATAGCTTTTTATAGCTCAGACTGTCATTCCTAGTCTTGCACTGACTCTGACTGCCTGTCACTGTGGGTCTGTGTCATGAGCAATATGCTGCGCCCAGGTCAGAAGACTTGCTGTAGCGTAGCCAAGAAATTCACTGTCAGCCGAATCCTTTCAGCTCAGCATGAAAAGACCAATACTACACCAAGACCTCACAAAAACTTAGCTGGATGGACAGTGATGATCATGCTAATTTTCAAGCCTCTGGTAGTGGAAGGTGTCCAGCATTCGGAAGGTGAAAAGGTCGAACGGCAACAGCTTCCACGTGATGCATGGGATTTTTTTGTCCGTTGTTCTCCTCGGTTGTAATCTGCCCCAGATAAAAGGACTAGCAAAGTGCTTAAAATATGAATGTAAATGCAAAATGTATGAGAGAGAAATAAAAATGAGAACTTAAGAAAAACACAGGAAGCAGAGCCAGAATAACCATCTGTCCAGATTGGGTTAGGGGAATTCTGCTAAATCACCACTGATCTGCTGAATTGGAGAGGAGGGGAGAGGACGAGCACATCCGGATACACAAACACATAAGTGCTCCCACTCTATCTAAGCTTTCTCAGCCTTGAATTGACCTACATAGGGTATTTACCCCGGGATCAGTGGCAAGTTGTGTAATGCAATGTTACAATAATCCAGCATCCAAGAAGCACTTCTTCAGGATCTTTTGTGATGTCGGGAATGGGCGCAGAGAAGCGTATTAGCACAAGGCAATCCAACAACTGAACCAATAACAACCTGAAAGACATGCTTTCCCTTCAAGTCTATCCACCCCACTGCTTTCCTCACCTGTCTCTTCTGCTGCAGGAGCGAGACTGTGCTGCATCAGTTTTGCTGCCCCGCCCCTGAGCATCCAGAGACTGAGACCACTAGCTCGTCCAGGTAAGCCAAAGATACTTTAATGGACTTTTTTTTTCTCTCACAGTGTGCTCTTGCAACAATGTAAAACATCCAGTCTGCATACATACACTCTGTGCATTAGTGCCAGCTGAGCCATTTCAACACCCAGGCCTTTAAGCATGCCTGATAGCCTGCTTGCTCTTTATTGAACCACATGTGAGTGTGAATTGGTGCATTTATAGACCTATTGTGCATGGATTTCATAAAGATAGTTAAATGTTCTGTGACTAAACTACACCTCTGACAGCCTCAAGGGTAACTCACATATTCATAGGCATATAAATGGGAAGTGTGGGTAACCGAACTGATATTCCCACTATGAAAGCGCCTATGGCAACTCTGACGCAACCCTCGCCACTACCATAGTAACTGGAGAATCTACTGTAGTGACTTTTACCGTGTGACTGTGCGTGGGCAGTGCTGTCTGTTTGTGATGTGAGTTGTTTGTGAGTATGTAGAAAGTATTGTGTATGAGGATGTGTGGGAATGCATGACATTTCACTTGGATTTTTGAATGAGCCGTTAAAACTGTGAAAAGCTGATTTTGTCATGTTTCTCAATGATTATTGTTTTTCCACCCTCCTCCCGAATGTCTCCCATCTTCTAATCCTCTGTGCTCTGTTTCTAAATCCAGTCGTTCCCGGTCTATTTCTTTTCCTCCAGTCTCTTCATCTGCTATGGCGTAGTTTTCCTCCCTGTGTTGTTTATTTCTTCTCATTATTTATCTGTCTGTTGGAAGACTCTTCTAATCAGCTCACTGCAATTATTTCTATCTCATCCCTCCTTATCAAGTCTCTCACTTATTCTGCTTTTATTAATATCACCATCTGTCTGTCTGGAATCCCTCTCTTCTCTCTGATCTGATGACTTTACTCCTACACCCACATATCCCTGATTGGATGGGCTAATGGCACAGCGGCAGTGGACAGCCAGCTGAGATGATGATGAGATGTAGCGGAGATGTGTAACACCGTAGCTCATTATTATCATCGTTACACAAAGTTTTGTGCTCTCGGTGGCTGCTAACCTGCACCCACGTCTACGCGCTGATGTTCGCTGAATCCATCAGAACACACAAACCTCCCAAGAGATGCTACGAGATCTGCCTCTAGCTTAAACTGGTGTGCCTTTTCTCCTTTACTCAGCCTTTTCGCGTGTGAGCGAGTTCTCCCCTGGCTGTACAGTACTTTAGGTCTCCGTGGGACTGTGAGCAATGCGTTTTGACAGATGTTCAAATCTTGCCACCTTGTCACACAAAAGCAAAGGCAGGAGTCTATGTTTGCGAGCGTGTACGAGAGGAAGAGAGGGTGCCCATATCATTACAGAGGCTTTTGCTGTCCAGATGCATTAATAGCTGACTCTTGCTTTTAAATCCTCTAATGTATTCTAATGTACTCTAATGTATTCTGATGCAGTACTGGGGCATGGCAGTGTTTTAATAGAGTTTTTGATATAGACAGCCTCCAGCATGCACACCCCAACACACAGTCTCAACCTTCCTGTTTCCTCTCTATTTTCCTATCGCACTCTTTCCTCTGGTCCCACGCTCTCTTTTTCCATCTATTTTCGCTAACTTTATCTCATTTAATGATAAGAGCGAGCGTCTCTGGCCCTATCTGTGACTTTTAGCTCGGTACTCAGAATAGTTGCTTTCACAGCAATCAAAGAAAACAAAGAGGAAATTTAGTGATGCAGTCATTATTTAACCATGAGCGGGCTTTTTGTTCTCCCTGGTCCCGTTTAGCACTGGTCCTCTTCGTGTAAAAATTATTAGAGTAAGCCTTATCTGGGAGGAAGAAAGAGTGAACAAGCACACAACGTCATGCGCACACATTCAAGGAGGTTTCTGGTTTTGACTATGAGAAAAAAATTATTATAAAGAAATGGTGCTGCTAAATTCCAAACAGTATTTTCCATGAATATGTAGACAAAGTGTCTTAAAATGCCTGTTTGTGTATTTTGGACATTTTCTCATGACTGGTCTGGAAAAAGACATCTTATGGAAATAAAATAACCCAAAATTTCAAAATTGACCTCCGTATGAAAAAAAACATGCCTTTACCTGTAGTTTCTTTTCATAATCAATACACATACTCACCTGCTACTTTATTGGTTTTAGTAATTATCTAATCAGTCAATTACAATGCAGCAATTTAATGCATGTAAACATGGTCAAGAGAACCTGCTGAAGTTTAACCTGAGCATCGTGGTTGTTTGTACCAGACTGGCCTGATTATGTCAGAAAACAGAAAACGATCTGAAAAAGAGAAAACATTCCATGACAAAAATGCCTTGTTGTAATCAGAGGTCAGACGATTATTACAAGAGGCATCAGTAACTCAGAGAATGCAGAAGAGCATCTCTGGACAGGCTTATAGCAGCAGAAGACCACACCAGACTCCTCTCCTGTCAGCTTGGAACAGAAAATGGAGACAATTGTTCACACTGGCACAAAAAAAAAATTTGTTTGGTCTGATGAGTTTCATTTTCTGCTGCAATATTTGGCTCTAGGCTCTAAATTTGGCATAAACAACAGGAAAGTTTGGATCCACCCTGCCTTTTATTAACAGTTCAGGTTGTCGTTGGTGGAATAATCAATCATTTCTTGGTACACTGAGCCTCTTAGTGCCACTTGAGCATTGTTTAAATGTCACAGTATTGAGTATTGTTGCTGTCCATGTCCATCCCTTTATGACCAAACTGTATCCATCTTCAGGATGGATAGGATGGAGCAGGTCAGCCACTAATCAGAAGGTCGGTGGTTCGATCCCAGGCTGCCTCCTGGCTGCATGCCAAATATCCTTGGGCAAGATGCTAACCTCATGTTTGCCTACTGGTGGCGGTCAGAGGGCTCGGTGGCGCCAGTGTCTGGCAGCCTCGCCTCTGTCAGTGCGCCCCAGGGCAGCTGTGGCTACAATGTAGCTTGCCATCGCCAGTGTGTGAATGTGTGTGTGAATGGGTGAATGACTGAATGTAGTGTGAAGCGCTTTGGGGTCCTTAGGGACTAGAAAAGCGCTATACAAATGCAGGCCATTTACCATTCCAGCAGGATAATGTACCATGTCACAAAACTCAACATGACAATGGTCTCCAGAGTCCTCGGATCTCAATCTGATAGAGGATGTGCAGCCAACGAATCTGAAACGGGCGTGTGATGCTGTCATGTCAATATGGACCAAAATCTCAGAGGAATGTTTCCAGCACCTTTTTGAAGCTATGCCACAAATAATTAAGACAGTTCTGAAGGGAAAAGGGAAGTGAAGTGGTGGTGTCAGTCTGTTCATGCAATACTCTGGAACAAATCTGAGCAAACTTGACAAAATATGTCCCTCAGATCTCAGTACACAACATGTAATGAACATCAACAAATAAAAAGAAACATTCAAACTTCTCACATAGTAATAGAAGGAGGCCTGGAGAGATCGACAGATGTTTGGTAAATATGCATGAGCGGAGAATTGCTGAATATTTTGTCAGATGGTCATCAAGAAGACTTATAAGGAGGGCAAATATGAGAGTGGCTGCATGTCTAAACTAAACTAAACAATCTTCCATTTATATAACACTACAGTGCGAGCTAACCGCAAAGAGGTGATCATTTATGCTTTATATATAACATTTTAATTTACCGATTGAATAGGAGGAACAATCTATTGATAAACCAGTTACTGGTCAAGTGTGAGCTAGTCACCACTGAGGAATATAGGAAAACGTTCACTTCTATTACAGCTGATTCTTACCTCCTTAAGAGAGAGTCAGAGAATAAAGAATCAGTCTTTGACTGCTCACAGTTTATAGACATGCATCCTGCGATGATGGATCACAAGAAGATATTGATTCACATTACCGGCTCACAAGCAAAAAGGGTTGGGAACAACTGGATCAGCACACTAAAGGGAAATGAATCAATATTAACTGAATAGTAATTTAGGTTATTTTGGCTATTAATGGAAAAATAAAATGCTTTCACTGTTTGTCATAGTGTGAGGACTTGTGCATTTTCTCTATGTTGTATTATTGTGATAGAAATGAATATTGCTTGTGGATTGTTCATTTAATGAGTCATTTTTGGGTCCAAGAAATTATGATTTTTAAAAACATTTTTTTTTCATCACATTGACAAACAGCTGATGTGCTGTTTCTTTTCTGCAGAACACAATAAGAAAAAGCTGAGTTTTATGTTTGAAACAGCAAATAAGAGGTGGAGATTATAATTTTTACATAGTTTTACACTGTTACATATTCAGAGTTGCACACTTGCAACTTGCACTCGAGCCACAAATCTGACCAAATAGGACTGGGCACATAAAGCCAGTCAACCTCACCCTGGGCCGCCACAGCTACACATCACTGTCTGCGTGCTGCTCCCCTTATAAGTCTCTTCACATTTCACATACTTGATGACCAGCCACTGACATCAGAGTTTTACTCCGTCAGAAGGACTGATATCTTTCCGCTCTTATTTCTGTGTCAGTGGACAGATGCTGAGCCTGGAGGATGGCACCTCCTCTGGGGACAGACAGGAAACAGAGGGTACCAAAAGGGAGGGACCCAGTGAGTACGAGAGCACCCTGGAGAATAAAAACAAACAGGTATGTCTTTTAGCAGGTGTATGTGGGCTCATGAGCATATTTTGGGTGCTGAGGCAGAGCTGGTTGTTCTACCTGTCTTTGCACGAGAAGGTGTGCATGTGAAGGTTGCTCACTTGACACAGAGTTGGGTGACAAAAAAATAAAAACAGATTCCCATTCAGATCTATTTCTGTCTATGTTCACATGAAAAAAGAGCACCCAGGATACCACTGCCACAGAGACAGGAGCATGAACGATGCTAAGTTGTCATGGTAACAGCTAATAACTGCTTCTGGCGGCTGGAGATGTCTTTATTCCTCATAGGAAACTGCTGAAGGGTCCGCTGTTACTGCTAGCGCTGTTGTATGGATTCACTTATATGAGCGTGTCTGTGTGTACTTTTGGTATGATCAAATCCACGCACACACAGAAACACACACAAATGAGTGGCTGTCCTCCTTTTTCCCTCCCTTTTTGTCTCTTCTCCCCCTGCCTCCCACTTCTCCTTCGATTCCCTCTCGCCGAAAATGTAAGAGAGCAAAAAATTGTGGAGGACAGTGAGATTTTAAGCTGAGCTGCTCTGCCAACAAATGGAACAGAAATAAGCTTGTGCGGGTGTTTACTTTTCTATTCATTTTCTCAACAGCACCTTTGTCACAGCCCATCCATCCTCTTTTTCATGCCCCTTCAGCCAGTATTAGCAGCTGAATGATGATAGATGATGTTTACTTTGGTTCTAATAACACAAACACCCACCAGTTTTAAAAAGAGTGGACTGATAAGTAAGACCCAAGTGGGCGCTAGCAGACTCATGGACTAGTGGAAAGTATAATCAAGGCTTAAGAAGGGTGTGAGTGGGAATTTCATGATTCAAGTCAGCTCTTTTGATCTTTTGCAGGCATTGGCGCAAAATTGTAACATGTTTGCTTACTGCTGGATGAATAAGTATCTTTCATTAGATTTTGTGTGCTTTGCAGTACTATTCCTGAAATGTCTTAAAGTCTCAGAGTCCTGTCAACAAATTTAATATACTCGCTCTCTCCCTTTTCCCAGATAGAAGAGTTGGAGCAGAAGTATGGAGGCCATCTCATAGCAAGGCGGGCAGCCCGTCGTATCCAGACAGCCTTCCGTCAGTACCAGCTCAGCAAAAACTTCCAGAAGATCCGCAACTCATTGTCAGAAAGTAAGCTTCCTCGTCGGATCTCTCTACGGCATCCCAGCCCTTCGGGCAGAAACCGGAACGCAGCTCAGAGACACAGCTACACTCTGCATCCTGGAGGAGGACAGATACCTTTACGCTCTAAAACCCCCCCTCCACCCCCTTGCCGCTCCACGTCTCTGCCCCCATCGTCTCCTGCGTCAGCCCCGGCACCTCCCCCAACTCCTGCCCCAGGCTCAGGCCCAGGACCTGGACCAGGCCCAGCACCACCCACACCTCAAACCCCAGGACCCTCACTCACACAACTGGAAGACTGCTTCTCTGAACAAGTGAGGTTTTTGTTTTTTGTTTTAATCTTGTGTTGTAGGAATGCAAAACTGTATGATTTTATAAATGTTTTATAAACTTTTTATAAACTCCAGATAGAAATATCTGGAAAACCACTGAATGAATTATAACAATTTTTGGTACATTTTAGACATTGACCTTTCCATGACTGTGAATCCCAGTGACTTCTTTAACCCTCTAGTCAAATATTTTGACAGGTACAGAGCATATTACTATTAAATTCGATAGATACACCATGTCCTCATCATTCAGAAGATACATTTTTAACAACGTCTTGACTTTTGTGTCATTTTCTAGTAAATGTATTGGCAGAAAATTTGGTGTAGACATTCATAATCTCCTCGGGATCTTTTATAACTTTGATCATTCTTTGATGTCCTCAGGTCAAGATGTGAATGTGTCTGATACTGAGGTTTATGATGAAACATCTGCAAAACTGATGACATTCTTATTATTCTCTGACTTACTTTGTGTTTTAATGCAAATCAGCAAATGTCTGCATGGCATTATGACTTCATTAAAGCCAAGGAGCCCTACGAGCGTGTAGTCATGTTAAATAAGATTTTACCATATTCGTGAGGCACGCTGTCAGTATCAGTCTGTCCCATCATAAATCTACTGATCTCCGTGACAATATTCTCTTACCCTGACTGAACTTATCTTTAAATTCTCTTTAAATCTTGCACTACTTATCCAAGAACAGAGCTGACCCTCAGTGTCCTTGCATCTACACTTTATCTTACTTAGCTAAACTAAACTGACTGGCTCTAGTGACTTGATAGAAATGAGTTTAATCTTAATGCCAGTGGCCCACTCAGTAGTCCAGCTGCTGTCATTGTTAATTTAGTTCCACTAGTCTTACTAAAAGCCACTAATGAGCAACCCTGCGACTATCATAAGCTTTTACATACATGAATCATGGCCCTTGACCTGATTAAATCACGAGTTGTGATGTGAATTTTTATATTTTTTTGTGATCATACTTTCAGCTGCACTCCTTGGCGCAGTCAATTGATGAGGCCCTTCGTGGCTGGAGCTTGTCTGAGGGTGGAGAGGGCAAGGGACTGCTAATGGACCCCGGGGCGCTTCGTGCAGCTGCTGAGAGTGCTTGTCTGCCACGTAGTGCCAGCTCGCTGCTCATGGCGTTTAGGGATGTTACAGTTCATATTGACAGCAATAGCTCCTATACCATCTCCTCTGCCACCACCACAACCACCACCACCTCTTTGGGCAATGCAGGTGGGGGACAACCAGGTAGCAGGAAGACTTCTGTGAGTGGAATGGCTGGGGGAGGAGACAACCAGTCAGTGGAGGAGCCAGAGTTTCCTGCACCTCCGCCTAGTGAAGAGCTGGAAATGGTTGATCTAGGATCCAGGAGGGGTTCAGCAGTGCCAACTGCAGGGGGAGGAGGAATGGAAGGGGAGAACAGCACAGACAGACTGGGATCCTCCTCCACTTCTACCTCTACTTCCACTTCCATCTCCACCTCAGCCCAGACTAACCAACAGCCTGCCCAGATTTATACCCAGTACCAGCAGTACCACTACACTCATCCCCAGCAGATCTCCGGGGGGCCGAGCCCCGAGGCCCTGCAGGCTCTGGTCGTCTCTCTGCCGAGGGACCGCTGCCAGGATCCAGCCTCTTGCCGCTCACCCACCCTGTCTACTGACACACACCGCAAACGCCTCTATCGTATAGGACTCAACCTCTTCAATGTGTGAGTAGACCACCACACACACACACACACACACACACACACACACACACACACACACACACACACACACACACACACACACACCGAGCACTCTCTCAGAAAATATATAATAAATATTTCTGCACCCTCTGGCTCAGGGTTCAAAGTACTCTTACTGCTGTTTGTGTCTCCAACACATCTCCAACAGCCATGCAAAACCGCTTTAGGCAGCTGCTCATTAGCGTTTGTGATTGTTGGGAGGAGCTGCCTGTTCAGTGTTATCTTCTGATGATCTGATGTCCATGGCAAAAAAAAGACATCAAGAGGAAGGCAGGGATGGGAATGAGAGAGAGAGACAGATGCAAAGAGAATAAATGCGGTGGAACATTAGAGGCAGTCAAGGAGGTCATGAACAATGCGAGAGCCACAGAGTTCCTATAAATAGTGTCCACGGTTGGACTGCACTTATTATTAGCTAATACAAATTAATGTAAATTAACCCATATGCATCAGTAACACTTGGTCTCTTTCTAAAGTCCACAGCTAACAGCTTTTGCGCACGGATGCGCCTCTCTTTTCCCTCTTTTTCCTAGTGCCTCCTCTGACACACACACACACACACACACACACACACACACATATTAGGCACCCTTTCTCTTAAATATAGTGTAAGAGATTTTGTTTCGCGCTCAGCTCAACACACCTCTCTGCTTGAATGCACAAAACTTCTTACACGCACCATTCCCTCTAACGCTATGTGCTTTTCTCTATTTGTTATGTGCGGACAGGAATCCAGAGAGAGGCATCCACTTCCTGATTACGCGTGGTTTCGTCCCAGACACGGCCATCGGAGTGGCTCACTTTCTGCTGCAGAGGAAGGGCCTAAGTCGGCAGATGATTGGGGAGTTTCTGGGGAACAGCAAACTGCAGTTCAACAGAGATGTCCTTGAGTGAGTTCATGTCATTTCTCTGTCATCAGTCATCATTTAGGTTTATTTGATTAGGAAAAGATATAACTGACTTTATGGTGATAATAAGGCACCCCTTTTCTTATATTCTGATCATTCAAACGTTGTACTTCCAGTTAGAAATATAGGCTTCTTACAAATTTATAGCGTCAGTGCACAAACTTGTATGAACATGATGACATTTTGGGGGTTATTTTGTCAGATTTGAAAAAGGTAATCCCCATAGTAATGAACCAATGACATTTATAAAACTGGTTTAAGTGCACCTCACTTTTTGAGTTTCCGATCATAAAATATTCTCTCACTCACTTTGACACTTTTTTTCTTATCTTATGTCAAGCACCTTAGATCAGTGAAACAGAAACTGCGCTGCAGTCCAGCATCTGGACTGACAGCAATAGATCTTATTAACATTTACAGCTACATTGTTTAGGAGCGGATGTAAGTTAAGAGGTACAGTGGGTCATCTACCAACTGTAGGGTCAGTAGCTCAGCTACTGCTGTCTGCCTATTGAAGTACCCTTGGGCAAGATACCGAACCCCAAGCTGCTCCTGAAGGATCCATGGGAGTATGAACATGTCCATGAATGTTAGACGAGGTGCTTAGGTATAGAAAAAAGTGCTTGTATGTCTGGGTGATTGAGGCTCGTAGAGCTTTGAGTGTTTAGTACCAGTCTATTTAGCATTTACTCATTATAAAGTGAAAAAGGTTTTTTTGCTATTTGCCTATTTAATTTTCTCAATTTGAGTTAATAATCTTAACACAGTATTCATTTTGAAAATTTAAACCTTATTACACGGTTCTCTTCACCAGATTTAGATTGCTTCGTTGCTGCAAAACTGTAAATGCTCACATTTTCAGTCGTTTCACTTCTCATTGAATCGGGCTTTAAGATTAGAATTCCTTCCTGACCTTGGAAAAAAACAAACTCATTCACATGTAGCTGAGGAGCTGACCCCACTATTTGTGAGGGTGCCCCTATTTTGAGGAGACTTGAAAGAATCAGGCTGTATAGAGGCTTTTTTAGGCACTGAGTTCTTTGTGGTTTCTTTTTTTTCTGCCTCTACAAAGGTTTCAAGGACAAACTGGCTGCTTGTTGATATTGCAGAAAATCACTGTGATACCTTATTTGAGAAATGTCTGCAAATGATAACAATTTAATGATGATCAAAGCTCCTGCACATGTGTGCTTATCTCTCTTCTCCTTGCCAGTATTCTCACAGGAAAAGTCATTTCTATACATACTTTGCATCCATATGGACCTCTTTAAAGACTTTTTCTTTTTCAGGAAAACCTAATCTCACTAATATTCTCATTTAGGTCCTTTAGTAGAGTTTCAATCATACATCATAGTACAAAGTCCGATGGTACTGTTGCTTTATATGGCTAAGAAACTGAGGTAAATAAAGTAAAACATCTGTTAAATTTGGACTTTCAAACTTCAGTTATTTTAAAAGCTATCTCAAACTGAGCTGGTTTTCGAAAGCAATTACCTTATAAATGAGCGTACGCGCAAAACTCACTTGACATGTGGCACCAGTTTGCGGAAATGGAAGACATCCATGAAAACATGCTTTTTCTTAATGCTTTGACACTCACCCCTTTTTGCATCCTCCCAGTGTAGGCTGCAGACTGAGAACCAGCGTAGCGAGGTTTTCTGCTGATGTTGTTGTACAGACTGTAGAAATAGGTCACTGCACTGAACACACACTTAAGCACACACCCTCACTTTCTTTCAAAGAGACACACTTGTATGGACACAAATACACCCATGCACCTAAATGTACATGCGCAATCTTGTACGTACTACTCCCATTACCGCAGTCTGTCCTCAGCCTTTCATGTTACCTCTCTCTTTCCCATTCCCTCTTTTCTTTTCATTTTTTGCCATCTCATCCCTCTTTTCCCACTATTTTCGGACTCTTTCTTCTCCACTGATATTTGCACAGCACGTGGGTATATGTGTGTGCACGTGCAAGCATGTTGTCTCTATGTGCAACATTCAGGTCAGTGGTTCTGTAATGGAACTATGACTGTAATGACGAGATTTGCCGTCAGCACTTGGGTACAGATAGTTTGTCTCAGATCCACTCGCACACTCACTCTGTTACCTTCTCACTACAGTGAAGTACTGAAACTAAACCCAGCTTCATTTTGCCTTTTTTTCTTGTCTTTCCCCCCCTCCCTCTCTGTCTCTTTATAGCTGTGTTGTGGACGAGATGGATTTCTCAGGCATGGAGCTTGACGAAGCCCTGAGAAAGTTCCAGGCCCATGTCCGTGTTCAGGGAGAAGCACAGAAAGTGGAGAGACTCATCGAAGCCTTTAGGTGAGACTGTCAGCTTGATCACAACCCAACCTCACTGACTAACGGGCTCTGGCTTTGATTTTTAACAATGTGCAACACAAAAACAGTGCATCATGTGACCGAGCAGGGCTGGGTAGTGCACTCTGAAGATTTTAACAGGAATGGGCCTTTTGCTTGTGGCCACCAATACAAATCAGAAAAACAATGGCACACAACCAAGAACACACACTTTGGAATAAAATTGAAGCAAAAAGCTTTTTCTGATCTCGCAGCCTTGGGGTAGCAGAATGCGTCCAAGATGGCATACTAATCAGCTCACTGTATAGACACAGAAGAATCGGCTGTTTTTGCTGGCTTACTGCGACAGGCTGTGATGACAGCAAAGCTCTGTGTCATTAATAAGTTACACTGATTTCCTGTAACCTTTGAATAAACTCAACACTGTTTGATCATCAGCCAATCACAATAGGGATTTACACTGCAGCAAAATCAGCGTGTGTTCCATCAGGACAAGAATAGATGCTTTGTTTCGCAGCTCTCTTTTCACCAGATGACACTTCCCTGGCCAAATCATTTTCTTTTTAGGCTGCTGGTGCATGCTGGGTAGTTGCGTGTCCATCCCATTCAAAATCACACATGAATATATAGAAGTTTGTTACTCACCAAGATCTGCCTCAGTTGGTTTTGTCCTCATTTTGTGTTGAATCCAGCCCTGAAGTCACGCTAGTGTATGCTGCTGATAAAGGTCTTGAAATGCCAAGTGGAACTTGTTAGACTTACTGCAGTTTGCAGACTACACTTATACCTTTCCTGCAAACTGTCTAGCTTTGCTTCTAACAAATACCTGGATGGAAACTGTTTTATTTTAAAATCATGCTATTTAACCTTTAACTGAGGCAATAAACAGATAGAAGCAACCAGACAAATAAAAGCTGCAACTTTGGTCCCCTGGCTGGCCATGTCCTTGATAAGTCCTAAAGATATCCAAAGCGTCCCCTCAGGACTAAAAATGCAATAAAAATGCCCTTCATTGTTTTCTATTACAGAGAAATTCCTTGAATTGCTCTATACATTTAATGTCCTTCCCTTGATGTACTGCTCTTTCCCTCAGGAATGCCCACACTGTCACCAGCATGACACGGCTTGAGTCAGTGGCCTCTTTGAACTCATTAACCAAGACGTCATTTTCCCTGTTCACACCATAACAAATGTTCAGCTTGTTAGTAGGCCGCCAACAAATTTCTGCATCCTCATTCTGACAAATCTTATGACTGTTAATACAGTTTCCTCCTTCTTCTGTGACAAGGGCGGTTTGTCCCTCTGAAGACATTGAACAGCCCACAGGCCTGCTGCTTTAAGCTGAATACTATTGTCAGCATTCAAACATGTTCACAAAACCATTGTGTTTAGCAGGTAATGATCACCATGTTTACCATATCAGTTTGCATTGCTAAACAGCACGCAAGGCAAACAGCAGATGGAAGTACAGATGGTAGGAATGTCATTAGTTTTGCAGGTATTTGAGTTAAACCAAAATAATGGACAGATTAAAATGCTGCCTGACTGCACTACAAGTTTTGTCAGAGGCTCATCATCGACATTACAATTTAAATGTGAGGACCACACTGTTAAAAAAAAACATCTTAAAAAAACAGTAATATTCCGGCAGCTGGGGCGCCAAAATACTACCGTAAAATAACAGAAAATAACTTTCTCATGAAAATACAGTTATTTTCAGTAATGAAAATAGAGTTTGTTGCGCTAATTTTACATGGGATTCTGCCTTTTCCAGTAAAATACTTTTATATTAGGATTTTTTCCTACAGTGCAGCCATACCCGCGACCTTGTGGTTGTTAGTTCACATTCATTGGCCGATGTTTAGCGTCATGTTATTATGTGTCCCAACATCCATCCTAGATGACATGAAATTTTCAGCAAAATTATAATTCAAATACTCCTTTAATTATTATTGTTCTCATTAATTTTCAATTTTTCCATAGTATTACATTTGAATTTAACAGATCATTCTCTCACATAACAGACAAATATTTGTGAAATTATGATACATTTCTGAATGTATTTTTACAATCTAAATATGCATACAGTGGGGCAAAAAAGTATTTAGTCAGCCACCGATTGTGCAAGTTCCCCCACTTAAAATGATGACAGAGGTCAGTAATTTGCACCAGAGGTACACTTCAACTGTGAGAGACAGAATGTGAAAAAAAAATCCATGAATCCACATGGTAGGATTTGTAAAGAATTTATTCGTAAATCAGGGTGGAAAATAAGTATTTGGTCACCTCAAACAAGGAAAATCTCTGGCTCTCACAGACCTGTAACGTCTTCTGTAAGACGCTTTTCTGTCCCCCACTCGTTACCTGTATGAATGGCACCTGTTTGAATTCATCATCTGTATAAAAGACACCTGTCCACAGCCTCAAACAGTCAGACTCCAAACTCCGCACGGGGGGACCTGGTGAATGACCTGCAGAGAGCTGGGACCAAAGTAACAAAGGTCACCATCAGTAACACACTACAACGGCAGGGAATCAAATCCCGCAGTGCCAGACGTGTTCCGCTGCTGAAGCCAGTGCATGTCCAGGCCCGTCTGAAGTTTGCCAGAGAGCACATGGATGATACAGCAGAGGATTGGGAGAATGTCATGCGGTCAGATGAAACCAAAGTAGAACTTTTTGGTATCAACTCAACTCGTCGTGTTTGGAGGAAGAAGAATACTGAGTTGCATCCCAAAAACACCATACCTACTGTGAAGCATGGGGGTGGAAACATCATGCTATGGGGCTGTTTTTCTGCCAAGGGGACAGGACGACTGATCCGTGTTAAGGACAGAATGAATGGGGCCATGTATCGTGAGATTTTGAGCCAAAACCTCCTTCCATCAGTGAGAACTTTGAAGATGAAACGAGGCTGGGTCTTCCAACATGACAATGATCCAAAACACACCGCCCGGGCAACAAAGGAGTGGCTCCGTAAGAAGCATTTGAAAGTCCTGGAGTGGCCTAGCCAGTCTCCAGACCTCAACCCCATAGAAAATCTGTGGCGGGAGTTGAAAGTCCGTGTTGCTCGGCGACAGCCCCAAAACATCACTGCTCTCGAGAAGATCTGCATGGAGGAATGGGCCAAAATACCAGCTACTGTGTGTGCAAACCTGGTAAAGACCTATAGTAAACGTTTGACCTCTGTTATTGCCAACAAAGGTTATGTTACAAAGTATTGAGTTGTATTTTTGTTATTGACCAAATACTTATTTTCCACCCTGATTTACGAATAAATTCTTTACAAATCCTACCATGTGGATTCATGGATTTTTTTTTTCACATTCTGTCTCTCACAGTTGAAGTGTGCCTCTGGTGCAAATTACTGACCTCTGTCATCATTTTAGGTGGGGGAACTTGCACAATCGGTGGCTGACTAAATACTTTTTTGCCCCACTGTATGTACAAAAAAATATATTTAAAAAAACAAGTAAATTATGTTTTACTATATTTACAGTTATTTTACCTTTGACATGTAAAATCACAGTGTACTTATGTAAATTTAATGATATTCTAGAAAGACAGTACAAAACTGTAAAATATACAGTAAGACACTTTGACATTACTATTTTTTGGAACAGCGCAGTTTCATGAAAACTGCTGATATACAATACTGCTAGCATGGCTAATGTAAGCATGCCAGAAATACAGCATGTCTTTCAGTGCAAGAACAAGTAAGTACAACTTCAATTAGCGATTTCTTTTCTTTCTTTCTTTTTTTTAAAAATATATTTTCTATCTGCCTGTTGTATAACATTTGTGCTGACAGATTCATTCCTCCTGGACACGGAGGATACCATTCTGTCCCAAATCTGTAGAGAACTGTTCTGCCATTTCTCACAAGTTATTTTTTTCAGCTCTCGTTGCTGGAGGGATTTTGCTGTGCTGCTATCCTTTGCAAAATATTCCAAATGAGTTATCCTACATTCAAGTTAGGGAAATATATATATATATATATATACATATATACATATATATATATATATATATATATATATATATATATATATATATATATATATATATATATATATATATATATATATATATATATATAGCCATGCATTCACTTCTTCCTTTAAAACTGATCGTTTTTTCTCTGACCTGTCCTTTCAAGACTGCGAGTCGTCTTTTCTTTCAGTCTTTGGGTATATAAAGATGCATTCATAGAGCCATCTGTAAATGTCATCTCCCCTACAAGCTTGTGCACTCATGCATTCCCATATCAGCCTACGCCTACATCCATGTTTCACTGTTGGTGCTCTTCAGCCACTGTGGTATTTCTTGCCTTATTGACATCAGGCATGCAGGATCTATCTGTATCATCTACAAATGCATTTATTTTGCTTTTCTTTTAACCAAAGAATGTGCTAGAATTCATTGATGTTATTTTCTCAGTTTTGCTGTTTTTGTGCCATGTTGTCGACAGTGGTTTTCTTCTTCGAAACCATTCCTGTCTTGTATGTACTGTTTGGGCATTTTTGAAGAAGAGTTTTCCATAAATAGTGTTCTGGTTCAGAGCATATACACATGATCTTGACCCCATTGAAAAGATTTTAATATTCATTTAATACAGAAGTGACTCCTGAGATTTAGAGCATCCTTTAAAGAGTGTTCTAGGCAGCATTTTTCAAAGAAAAGCTCTAACCGGATGCTCTGCTGTGAGGGGTAATATTTCTAACCTCATGTTGCACGAGACACAACCAAGGACAGAGCTGAGTCAGTTCCGGTTTTTACAGGGTAATTTGTGGGTGTGTTATTCAGTTAACCTGGAAATGAGATGAGTAATCACGTTTTTGATTTCTGTTTTTCAGTTTGTAATTTAAACGTACGCCTTCTTTTCTGTTTGTCTTTAATTATTTATACAAATTAACATCACATCAATGAAGAATATCATATTGTAAGTAGAAAAAATAGTACAGTTAACATAAGATGACTCACTGTTGAATTAATGCCCACGATTGTAAGTGAAGGAACATTTGATCCAGTGCAAAAATGTGGCTTGATCAAAGTGTCTTTAGCACATCTAGGGAAACACTGCATGTCTATGACACTGATTAAGACACTACTGTTTATGGGGGGTTTGGCTACACTGACAGCAAGCACCACTTATTTATTTATTTATTTTGGATTGAGACGTTTTTTAGATTCTAGATTTTAGATAATGTGAAAAGTACAGAATCCCCGGCCTATCCATTAAGAAAAGTGTTCTTATTCCAAACAAGAGGTGGTGAGGGAAGAGAGGAAAGGGAGCAGTCATGACACTTCCCCTCTCTGATTCTGATTTGAGGGCCAATCAGAACACCCACTGCGGTCATCAGTTAATCACAGAAACACTCAATCATACATACTGAGCCTCTGGGTGCAGATTATAAAGTCATCAGTGATCTGAGACCACACTTTCTGGAGCTGGGAGTTTAGGTCAGAAATGAGCGGGCTTTATCGGGACTGCCAGACATCCACTACCATATCTGTTATGTAACACTTGTTATGTCATCTGTTTGAAGCGTGTTGTACTCTTGTCGAAAGCAGTTCTTTTATACAAAGTGGTATTTGTGCCAGCTGGCATGCAACTTTTATATGCAGATATGAAGATAAGCGATCAGAGCTAGTGTTTAAATAAACTGGTTACATAAGACGGAGATGTGTGGTTGAAAATGTGTGAATGAAACAGAAATACACGCTCATGCTTACCACTACCGATTTAGTCAACTGTTTGCTCACTCACTGAGAAAACATGCACACATATGCACTTTCACATCCATGCACATGCCCATTTGCATGCATACGCTCACAGATACAGCAGAGCTTGCCTTGAATTCAGTCTTTGATTAATTTTTTGCAGAAGTTGGCAAGTCTGCTGATACAGATTCATCTGTGAGTCTGTGGTTTTGTATCTATGTGCGGGTGCCTGTTCTATCTGCAAAAGAAGTTTGAGACGAGCAGGATCTAGTCTCTCTCAAACAAAGGCATTTCTTCTGAACTGTACAGCGTGATTAATACTCACTGACTCCTCTGACTTCAGTTCTGGTTTGGAATGTGAGAAATGGCTTTCTGGTTGCACCGGTCTCAGATGTGACCTCTTGATTGCATACGCTCTTCCAAGTGCATAGTCCTCTAGAGCAGAGCAGCCCCTCTCCGTGTCTGCATCGTGCCTGACTGCAAAGATAAAAGCCTCCCACCACTGAAATGGCCCACTGTGTAAGTGTAAGTGACAGTAAGAAAGAGAAGGAAAGAGCTGTGGAAGAAGGAGGGGTGGAAGTGAGAGTTTGTGAAGGCTATGGGCACCAATGGGTCAAAGCAAGTCCAAATGCAGCATCTCTGGTTCCTAAACAAAATGGGGAGAATTTTCTTAGCTGTATTGCACTGTCAAATTTCTCTGCTGTCCTGTCTTTCATATATGGTGGAGTGACGGCTTTCACATTTGAGCTAAAGTTAATTAGTGAGATTAGAAAGAGAATTATCTATCTTCAAATTACAGCAGGAATCTACTGTCTTTACAACTAGATCAGTATGCAAGCATCTCTCTTAAAGATGTCCTGATTTTTTTTATATAGCATGAACTCACCAATCAGTTGTATGCGTGTGTGTGTGTGCGTGTGTGTGTGTGTGTGTGTGTGTGTGTTAGTGTGTGTGTAAATAACTGTGCCAAAGTCTCAAGCCACCTTTTCCTTCTTCATATTTTGCTGCCAGGGAACCCAACTGCTTTTTTAATTTTTTTAAAGTGGTCTCGAGCTAGTCAATAGTTCCCCATGTTTTTAGAAGGTCTTTCAAAGTTTTTCTTTGAATATGAGTACTGCTTTTTCACTCATTTTCAGTTCAGTCCTTGTAAATGACCACTTTCATTTTCAGTCATTAAGCCATAAAAATGCACCTCAAGCACAAAACTCAAGGGATGAATCGGTTTTCTGTCTTCACATCACAGGTGACCTATCAAAGAACCAATTGATCAGTCTACAGCAACTGAACACTATCTGAAAGTTTTTTTTCCAGGAAATAGGAAAAACTGAGCATCATTAGAAATGGTCTCAGTGGAAGGATGGCTGTCAAGAAGCCATTCTTAAGGAAGGAAAACAGGAAGAAAAGTTTGAGGTGTGGCAAATTACCCAAGAACTGGACTGAAAATCAGTGGCTGCAGGCCTTGTAGAGTGATGAATCCAAATTTGACATTTGGTTCATATTATTGTTAATTGTACAGAGGTCAGGAGAGAGATACAACTGCGAGCGTCTACAGCCATCTGTAAAACACGGTGGAGGCTCTGTCATGGTTTGTTTAGGATCTTCTAAAACTTGATGAAATTATAAACATAGAAAAGTACAATTAGATTTTCATCCACCATAAAATACTGTCTGGAAAGCATCTGACATACAACGTGTACTTTTCAGCCTGGCAGTGTTTCCAATTTCAATGCAATAAAAACATACCTGGGTAGAAAAACACAACATGTAACACTACCAGTCATGAATTAACAGCCTGCCCAGAGTGTGGTTCTCAACATTACTAAAGCAGTGTGGGATCATCTTGACAGAGAACAAAACAAGAGGCAGACAAAATCTAAAGAAGAGCTTCGAATATCCTTCAAGAAGCATGAAGCACTAATCTTGAAGACTACTTAAAGAAATTACAAGAAAGCTTGCCAAAGAGAGTGCGGCAATTTTGAAGAATAAAGGCGATTATTCTAAATATTGACCTTCAAGCTTGTCAGAAACCCTGTTTTTGAATCATGTGCTGTTTTTGCATTCGTGCTTGCCCATTTCACCTACACATATTTCCCATTTTCTTTGCACCAAAAGAAGAAATGAGGGGTGGCTCAAGACTTTTGCACAGCACCGTATTTGTAAGAAATCCACATACACAAATATATAAACACAGAGCATATATTTCTTATGTTGTTTGTTAATTTTACACTTGACGAGTGCACGATAGGCTCACCAAATCAAAAAGCCATGCATCGTATTACATTGCATGAATGCAAGTTAAAAATAGCCATAACAGGACTTTGACGTCATGCTGCATGAATATTATCCATGTGTATGTAATAACTTGGCATCTGAGTGTGATTTCACGTCATCATCATTATCATCTTGTTTTTTCATTTAGTTTTTCCATGTATTTCTGTGCTGCTAGGACATTTTTAACACACTGCAGTGAACACAAGTATTAAAATCTGGCATTACATTTTTGTGATGTTTTTGTTATGACAACAAAATTGTGGTGTCTTGCAAACACGTAGCAATGCCATTCTGTTAGAAAAAATTCACCTCAATCTATCCCGTCAAAAGAAATAATACTCCTCAGGATTCTGTCTGACTAATAAACAGGATTTCAGTATTGTTGCGTCAGCAATGCTTAATGTTCTCTGCTTTCAAATACATAACAGAGAAGTGTGTGACCTCCACTGAAAAAAATATAAAAATATAACTCCTTTTTGTCCTCCACAGTCAGAGGTACTGTATGTGTAATCCTGACGTGGTGCAGCAGTTTCACAATCCAGACACCATATTTATTCTGGCCTTTGCTGTCGTCCTCCTCAACACTGATATGTACTCGCCCAACATCAAACCCCAGCGAAAAATGGGCCTTGATGACTTCATACGCAACCTAAGAGGTAAGAATGTGCTCAAACTGCGAGGCAGAGAGTATTTTTCTACAGGTTTTACTCTACGTGCCATGCGAGAGCTAACTGTCCCTGTGGGCAGAGCTGGCATAATGAGCTGCAGACATGTTTCAACATTTATAGCAAGTGGTTTTATCAGAAGGGCACGAGCACTGGTTATAAATAGTAAACTTGTTTATACATACGTGCCCCTCTACTGTAGATCACTCACAGTGGATTGGTGTGGTGGAAAGAATGACGGTGAAGATGAAAAAGAGAGCAGATGGCAGGGGAAGTCAAAATTTTACAGCAGGCACTCTCTTATCGACCTCACTTCAACCTCACTATCAGGCCCGTGAGTGACAGCTTCTTGAACTGAAGTAAATTACTCAAAGAGGCTGTGGTTGGCTGCCTACGCTCGGTACCATCAAGGAAACCATCATCAGTGCGGGAAGAGATTCCTGATATCCTTGACTCGGAGCGCTGCCCCAGAGGCCGTGGCGGCGGCCCATTTAATTGAGGCTCACTTAGCGTGAGATTTAATGATTTGAGCTTGGTTTTCCAGAAGCAACTCATCGCCGCGGCTGAGCTTCCCATAGCTCTGAATGTTGTCTCCATCCAAAGGTTCAGCAGATTCATATATTAACGGCAACAATGGCCTAAGGAAAAAGGATTTCACTGTTATTTGTGCCTTTAGTTAACAGAAAAATCGATTTCTCAGTCATTACATATTTTTCCTTCATATTATCTTCTACAGCTGAGTGTGCTGCTCCACAGTGATAGTGGAACAACTGCCAGGATACAATGTCAGCACACACACGCTGCGATAACGGCACAAACTAATTTGGCATTAAAATGTTGGGTAAAAGTGATACAGTCACACAGTTTGAAATTCAGATTGTTAAGTTTACACTCAATCTCAAGACACCCATTAACTTCCTCTGTGTGTTTTTCCCTCTAATACTTCCATTAATTTGCACATTAGAATGAGTCACAGTCAAGTCTGGGAGTAATCAAAACTTTTGAGATGCTTATTTAATTTCCAGCCTAAAGAACTGTTATCTGGTATCTGATTTCAAGTATTGACTTCACTGTCTGAAATCAACCCAAAAATCAAAAAATGGATTTTTTCCCCCCATTCTCTGACTTTCTCTGTGCTCTTGATACTATTCCTGTGTTATCTCCTCTCGTACCATTTGTGGATATCTCCTCTTCAATCTGGATATCAAAGGTGATGTCACCTTTCTAATGTAATTTATTTTGTCACATTGACCAAGGACAATGTTCAGTTTTGCAGGAATAAACAAGGACTGTGTATATATTGTTTTAAACTATGGCCTTGAATGTACAAATGTGCAAAGCTGCATGCACAGTGCATGCAACAGTCAATAACTGTTGCAACGGTGGTGAGATATTTTACATATGATGTAAGTGTGCAAAAAAGGGGGTAGAGAACGGCCAACCAAATTAACCCTTTCATACATGAGTTATGACAACCTCAGTGAGGGTTTTTTCTTAAGTATTTTTAGGCATGAAAAAAGATTTTTGAACTTCATTTTTTAAACATGTAATTTTCAAAGAGTTTTCTTTTACACATCCACTTAGTCAGCCCACTGGGTGACCAGTGGGTGGCAGGGTATGGAATGACACATCAGTGTCCAATGTAGTGGTTTATGTGCAAGCATACCATAAACATTGATACAAATACAAGAAAACAGCCTTTGAATAGCTGTCCACTGTAGTGGCCACAATGCATGAAAGGGTTATATATTCATCTTTGGCCATCACATAAGCCAACCAACAAGTAAAGACAGTTTATAATAAAGACAGGTTATAATTTAGTCAGATTTGATGTTGTGTCTGAATCTGTTTTGCTGGCGGTGGTTGTGGGGGGAGGGGTTAAACCTATCTGTTAAAATGTGTATGGTGGCTACTCATGCATTGCATGAACCCTTCATTTCTTTTAGGTGTGGATGATGGAGCGGACATCCCCAGAGAGATGGTTGCAGGTATTTATGAAAGGATCCAGCAGAGAGAGCTCCGCTCAAATGAAGACCATGTCACCTATGTGAGCCGTGTGGAGCAGTCAATCCTGGGCCTAAAAACTGTGAGTAATAGCCACGTTTTTGTGCAAGTCCTGCATTTCCTTTTGTCTTTTGAGAGAGCTGTCTGCCCTTTTTTTGTACAATCTTCTTTATCTTATATCACGGATTATTTTGCTGCAGCCCATCCCCTGCTCTGTGCTAGCTGTCATCTTCATCTCTTTAACCTTGTCCAGATTCTCGCCGTGCCCCACAGACGTCTAGTGTGCTGCTGTCGTCTGTTTGAGGTGCCTGATGCCAACAAACCTCACAAACAGAAACTGTCTCAGCTCCAGAGAGAGGTCTTCCTTTTCAATGACCTACTGTTGGTAAGATTTTAACATTTAAAAACCATTAAAAAGCACTAGAAACCATTTCAGAACATGTAGTATGTGCCCAAATGCAACCAACCATATTTCCGTGTTGTATGTCTCTAGATCCTGAAGCTATGTCCCAAGAAGAAAAGCTCTGCTTCATACACCTTCTGTAAAGCTATGGGTCTCCTAGGAATGCAGTTTCACCTCTTCAGCAATGAATGTAAGCTGCCATTTTACACTGCAGCAATTTATTGCCAGTGCAGTTTCACCCTGTGCTGAAAAATGCTGAGCCATCCACAGCACTGTTGTCTGTCAATGTCAGTGTCAGGATCCATACTTTAAGGAACTGCCAAGCACTCACCAGTATACCAGTGTTAACACGCTGTTGTCAGTGTTACAGCAGATATCCTGAAGGATATATTTTTATTCTTTTTAAGATTTAGTCTTTTTAAGTTTTTAAAGAAAGAGCATTTTGCTTGTACATTCATCAAGATGTTGTCTATGTTCTACAAGAGCATCTTACTGTCAATCTCTTATGTGTGCTGTCAATCTCCTATCAACATTTGAGTCCTCGGGTGCATCATCGAGTAAGGTTTGTGAACTTGGTGAAGCTCTGAGAATCTATAAACACAAATAATTCACTAAATCCATCTGGAAAGATAATAGAAAAGGTGTGTGAACTGAGAGAGCTTATGGGTTACTGGAAGGAAGAAAGAAAGGCTGAGATTATCTGTGTTAGGTATTGATTATTGGATTATCCATTCGTTTTTCCAGTCACAGTTATGGTAAAAACACTTCTGTTTCTCTTTGTTGGGGTTTCTCATCAGTCTATGCCCATGGTGTCACCATGATGAGCCCGTTTACTTCAGAGAAGAAGCAGCTGGTGAGTTTCTGCTCTCCAAGTGGAGAAGAGCTCAGGAAGTTTGCGGAAGAGCTCAGAGAGTCAATCGCAGAGGTCAACGAGATGGAACAGATTCACATCCAGTGTAAGGAGGAAAATCCTCAAAATCTGCAAAATCTATGTAAACAAATACTGATCAACCTGTGTACGGCTCACTGAACTTTCCCTTTCTCATGCTGTAGGGGAACTGGAGAGGCAACAAGGCATCCAGCCACATGGCTTACACACTAACGGTGGGCAAATGGATGCACATGCAGGACACGGCTCTCCCTCAGGTGCTGGTTTTGCTTGTGCAGCATAACACAGAATATATTACTCATAATAATGCAAACATTGCTCAGGGGAATATAGGAAATAGAACAAGTTCTTGGAGAAAAGGTACATGAAAAAGCTGGTGAGAAAGCCATCACTGTCACTTTTGAAATATTAAAGAAAGACAGAGAAATAGCTTCAAAAAGATTGTCCAGTTGTCATTTTTACATTGTACACAGGTGTTAGAGACTTTCAGATCTGATACAGTCTCTAATTCAATAAATAATTATAATACACGGTCCTTTTTCAGAGAGAGGATGGATACCAATGTCATATGTTAATGATGAGGCTAGAGTGCCAATTACAGTTGTGGAAAAAATTTTCAGATGATCTGCAGTCATATGAAAAACTTAGTACACCCCATGATTCATTATCTTGAAGAACTATATTTTACAGAAATATGTTAAAGTTATGTGTTATCTGCAGTCTGGAATTTGACTGGGTTAGCCAATGTGTTGTAGATTTGCTGACGTGCTTTCTTTTGCATGTCCCAGTTTTGGCTGTTGGAGAGATGGCCTCATAGCAACTCTAGAAACTTTGGTATACAGAGAAGTTCATGCTTTACTCAGTGACGGCAAGGTCCCAGATCCTGTGGCTGCAAAACAAGCCCACATCATAACATGTCCACTGCTGTGATTGAGCACAAATGCCTCAGACGTTTGTGCTGATACGGTGTATTTGGTTATTACCAGTTATGAGAAAACTGTAGTATTAAAATATGAAAACATGACATGTTCAGTTGATTCTGTGCAAAATGTATTTTAAAAAAAATATTCAAGAACCATTTTTTAACTGAATGACAGTTGCCTGTATGAGAGTCTGTTTCTGACATTTTCGAAATTCTGTATGTGAAGCTGAAATCTGCCTGTTTTTCCCCCACAGGCCAGGATGCGTACGATAAAACCGGCAACAACAACACAGTAGAGGTGAGTGCCAAAGCTACTCTTGTCTCCCTCAGGTAAGTATCTGCGTCTGCAGCTCTGTGGGTGTGGTTTTTATATGTGTGTGTGCGTGTGTGTGGTTGGACAAGGGCTGTGCCTCATCCTGACAAGAAAGTGTGCTTTATGCTTTGCTTTAAAAGAGCTCCACCTGAGGCACATCCTGACTATGCAGCCATAGATACAAAGGATGCTGAGAGGACTCTGGTGTAGTGGTGCTACAAACTGTCTCTCACTGTGCCTCATGAGTAGATGAGCAGCCACTCTACTCGCTATATAGCATTCCTTCTCTCATCAATTGCTGCTTGCCAGCCTTACTGTATAAGCCACTGCAAGCCACCATAAGCCTGGCTGGCTCCAAGAATACATCTACAAAGCCAGATAAGCTTGATACTGTTAAAGGTCTGTTGTGTGTGTGGGTACGTGTGTGCATGTCTGTACAACCAGCCCTTCCTGTAAGTAGGCGAAGTGAAAGAAGATGTTTTCTCTGTTTTATTCCTTTGCCCGTACTCCCAGCCCCCTTCTCCTCCCTTTCAATCAGTCCCTTAGATTTGTAAGTCACTGTGTTAGGGAGACACCACGCCCTCGGTGTCACCTCTTTCCTCGTCTGGCACTCCCTTATCTTTCAGCCTATCAGTCTGCCACTCAATGACCACTCCCTGTGTCGCACTCCGACACTCATAAAATCCAAAGGGTTCCCACCATAATTCCTTAAGAAAATCTCGTCTTACCCAGCAACCCTCTTCTCTTCCTAGGCTGGTGCGTGTAAATATGTGAACTCAAGTTTAAATCATCGAAGAGATGATCAAGAGAAAATGAGAGTGTGTGTTTTGCATGCGCTCGCTCTACATACTACCTACCTGCATGCCTGCATGCCCATGTGCGTAACACACCAGAGGGCTGCGTAGAGGCTGCGTTCAGGCTGGTAACTCCTCATGCGTTCTCTGACTGTTCCTAAACTAGGTGTCAATTCACAACAGGCTGCAGACCTATCAGCTGAGCCAGCCCAGCATTGAGTCAACGCCACTGGCTCTGGCTGCGCCACCTGCCCTGCTCAGCCCAGTCCAGGCCGGAGATCTCCGCCCAGAAACACTCATCCAGTGCCAGCAGATTGTCAAGGTGATTGTCATGGACCAGAGTGGGCGAGGACGGATGGAGGCATTCCTCAGCCAAGGCCCGGCCACCCATCAGCTCATCCAGTCGGCCCTGTCAACACCTGCGCGTGTCAGAGAGGGAGATGGGCCTCAACCCCCTTTGCCACCACCTCCTCCACCTTACAACCATCCCCACCAATTCTGTCCACCCGACTCACCCATGCCCCTTCACCACACCATGCCTCTTACCCGCAGGCGCAACTCCAGCGGCTCCCGCAGCATCGTTTAGGTCATCAGCTGCGTAACAAACTCCCTGCGCCAGACAAGATCCGCACACTCACACTCAACAAACACATGCTGGAGCACAAGTTAGCTTACTTTGAATAGTAAGACAAAAGAAGTGCAAAAAAAAGTAAAGTAAAGATTATATTGTGTGACTTAAATGCATTCCTCACAATTTATTTATAGTCTTAACTTGGCTGTGTGCTTTTTAAACATGGAGTAGCTTTGATGGTATTTCTGAAAGACTTTTCTTCTTTCTTTTCTCTTCAGCCTGTCACCTGGTAGCAGCTGTTGTTGTCTGTCTGGATTTCACGCTGTTGGGTGTATGGTGACTTAGCATTTTTAAATGTCGCCTATCCAACAAGTGTACGTGAGCTTGGAGTGTCAGAAAAAAGCACCCTGAAAAGACATGACATATCTTAAAAAAAAGGGGAAGATTCTGTTTTCTTTGAGGATATTGATGTTCATGGCATCCCCCTGTTTTCAGTATTACCACACTCAGTGAGGGATCGTTTTGCAGCTAATCTAACTACTTTATACCATAATCATTTTCCTTCATCTCTGCATAATGTGAAGAAACAAGAGCACCAGCTTATTTGTTTCTCCATTTTCTAGGGAACTCATAATCAGTGTGTGTGAAAAAAGGCAAAGAAGATAAATTGCCGTACCGTCTCTACCACCTACGAGTTAGTGTAGTAAGCAAGGATGCTGCTACTAACTAAACTATCCTAAATTAATATCCTGATGACAATCATGATTCGGTGCTTCACTGTTGCATGATTTTCTAAAATTGAACAGATAGCAGATATCCTCACAGTATCTGTATGCTGTGATTCTGAAGTTGTGCTCTCACACAGCTCAGGAAAGAGTCTGCTGCATTGCAACATGTAACACTTTATCTGCACCTCTGAGTTGTACTGAGGGGAGAGTGCTTCTGTACTGTTTGTTCAGCCTGCTTACCCATGGGCAACAGGGAGCCAGGCTGGTAATTTATCCTAACCAAGGCTAAAAGAAGCCTTTCTCCTCCTGTCTATTTACTCCAAACAGGTTGCCTTGTGCATAGGGATGTTACCTTTGGATTTAGGGAAACCTAAAAAGAAAACGTTATCCAAAAATCAAATATACATGTTTTTCTTATGCTTTGTAGTGCTGTTTTTACATCTAGATTTTTTTTTCTTCTGGTTTGAGTTGCTCAGTTGTGGACATGCCTGCCTTCTTTTGAATGTAATGGAGTTACTGTAGATAGCACTTGCCTTGCACTGCTAAAAGTAGAAAAAATGGCAGAAGGAAGCATCTATGACAAGAGGCATAACCATGATAGGATGTAAATAAGAGGTCCCGGTGCTGAGCTGTAATGTTTTGTACCTGAACACTTTTTTGGTTGGATGTACAACTCAATCCCCCCCCAAAAAATTAATAAAAACATAATGCAACAGTTTGCAGATCACACAATCCCATATGATTATCTACAATATAACATAGAAAACATACTAAATGTTCAAATTGAGGGAACCCCCCCCGATAATGTAAAGATAAGGAATTCAATGGCAGCAATCCATCTAAAAAAAATGTTGTGACATGGCCGTGTTTACCTCCGTGTCAGCAAAGCCGTGTTGTTGTAATATTTCTGCAGTTTAGTGCACCTGCTGTAGCACTGTCTTGTTGATAGACGTGGTGGTGTCCTATCCTCTTTAAACCAGAGGATGCAGCGTCACTGTGCCTTAGTCCATTTTAAATGATCCAGAGAAGACTACACATTTTCTAGATCATCTTTACATTATGGTTGTTTAACCTGCATTTGTGGATGGCAATTTGTGTTCACAGAGAGTGATTTCTGGAAGTATTTGTGAGCCCATGCAGTGATATTTACTGTATGACAGAATCATGCCTGTTTTCAAAGCAGTGCTGCGTGAAGGCCCATTGTGCTGTTAATGATGAGATATTGACAATCTTTACAATTTTACATTAAGGAACAATATTCTGAAAGTGTTCCACAATTTGTAGATGTTGTTTTTTGCAGGTCGGTGAACCTCTGCCATCGTTGCTTCTTAGAAACTCCGCCTCACTAAGATGCCAGCCATGTTACTGACCAATTAACCTTTATTAGGGCCCGAGCACCGAGAGTGCGAAGGCCCTATTGTATCTGCTCCGTTTCTTATTATTATTATTATTATTATTATTATTATTATTATTATTATTATTATTATTATTCACCCCAAACAAGGGCCTTTTTGAGGGCCTAAACATGCTCAAAAACTCATGAAATTTTGCACACATGCCAGGTCTGGTGAAAAATTTTGTATTTTAATGGTTTTACATATGAGCACTGGGAAATGGCTCTAGAGCGCCACCTATGCCTTGTTAAATGCAGCCCTACGACCACATCGTTTGAGCTACATGTATGAAATTTGGCACACATGTGTATCATGCCAAGACGAACAAAAAAGTCTGTGGGCCCATTGACGCAAACCCAACAGGAAGTCCGCCATTTGGAAGAGAAGGTGACATTTTGGCTCTAATTTTGCCATTTCCATGCCTCGAACTTTTGCGAACTCCTCCTTGGGGTTTCATTTCATAACCTTCATATTTGGTCAGTGTCAACTACACCCTTGTGCCATGTTAAATTGCGGAGCTTTTGAGTTTTCACAATACTATGAGGCCGTGGCGCCATGGCGAATTTCGATGACTCGCCATGAAAATCTTATTGCCTCTCATTTTGTCATACATTTTCTGACCTTGACCAAAGTGAACACATATGATAAGGCTCCACCCCTGAACATATTTCAACTGCCATATTTGACATGAAGGACAGCGCCACCTAGTGGGAACAGGAAATGTCATGTTTTACACTTTGGGGTACAGTATAGTGATGGGTGACATCTGCAGCCTCAAATTTCTCCAGGAAAGCCTTAAGGAGTTGGTCTTGGGTTACAGTGAAAACTGTGAGTTTTCGCAAAAGGGTGTGACCCCAGCAGCATGGCGAACTTTGATGTCACGCCATGAAGAAACAAATTAGTATAACTCAATGAAATCCAGTCTGATCAGTACCAGACTTTACAGGCATGATGTCAGACCCGCCCTGAACAGATTGATGTGCCCATTGTCGGAAATACGGACAGCGCCACCTAGTGGGAACAGGAAATGTCATGGCTTTCATTTTGTTGTACTGATTTTCACAGGTTCATCGTGGCCACCTCAAAAGCGGTGAATATCACCATCAGTCCCTCGTGATGCTTCAGTGCAAAAATTGTGACTTTAAACTGAACGGCGCACCCTGGTGGCAACGCAGTTCACCATGAAAGATGAAGTGGCTTTTGAGGGGCTTGGAAAGTTTAAAAAGTCTTGAAATTTGGCGCACACCTCCAATGTGGTTAAGGCTTTGTTGTTATGTGATCATTTTCATTGAATATCCCAAAATGGCTCCACAGCGCCCCCTACAAAATTTCAAAATCACAGCCCCTGCTCTGTGTTTTATGTATGAGTCTGAAACCTGGTAAGCTTATAGGAGATATCAAGATGTACAAAAAAGTCTCTTGGAGCAATATCCCAAATCCAACAGGAAGTCAGCCATTTTAAAATTAATGTGTAATTTTGGCGACATTTTCCCCTCTTTTCAGGCATCGTTCTTTGACGAACTCCTCCAAGGGATTTCATCATATTGCACTATTCTTCAGTGTGTGGAATCCAAAGACCTTTGTGTTGTTAAATTGCGAAGCTTTTTACGTTCAGGGAAACGGGGTGGTTATGGCGGCACGTAGACTCTCAATCACTCGCCAAAACGCAGTAATCTGCTGTTACTCAAAAACACAATGTCCAATCTCACCCAAAGGTCGCAGGCATAATGAGACTCGAGTTCGGAAATGTTTGTTATGCCATTTGTACATAATGGTTAGAGTGCCACCTAGTGGAACGACTAGCTAATCATGAATGAATGAGTTGAAATGTTAGCTGGTGGTTAAATGCATGAATTCCATCAATGTGACATCGATCGGACATGCTGGTTTTAGGTGTTGGGCGTGGCTCGACGCGCCGGGGGTGCGAGGGCCCTCATAACGCTGCTTGCAGCTTTAATTTAGTATTATATTTACACGCTGTTCCTCCCCTTTTGTTGATCCCATCCTAACTTTTTTGAGATGGGTTGCTGCCATCAAATTATAAATAAGCGTAATATTGTTCCTAGAATAATAAAATATCTCAGATTAAACATTTGTTTACACGTTTTTTTAATGTGCTTATGAGATTTTCAAATCACTGCATTGTGTTTTTATTGACATTTTCCACATTGTCCGAACTTTCCTGGAGTTTGAGTTGTAGGCATCCATCCATTATTATATTCAGGATCAAGGGTGAGAGGCAGGGCACACCGCACAGGCAGCCAGTCCATTAAAGGGTGGACACATTAAAACTGCTCACAACAAGATTTGAATCGATCCGAAGTGAATTTTTTATTTACTTTATTTATTTATTTTTTGATAAATTGGATTTTGATTTCTAGAAATCACATTGCTACTAATTTTCTGATGTGTATTTTTTGGTGCTTTGAGCACCACAAGACAAAGTGCCATCTGCTACCATCATACTTAAGAGAAGGCTTGATTTCCTACAGCTATACCTCCAAAACTATATTAAAATGAAGTAAAATGCTCTACACAGGGTTGACCCAAATCACCTCACTAGACCACGTCTCCCCTCTCACCTATTTATATTCTCCTTACGCAATGAAAATATTATATAAGCAGACATGCACATGTGTACTGAATGTTAAATCAGGGGGAAAACTGAAGATGTCCGTGGAATAATAACTGATTTCCTCACGTGTCGTCTGTCTTGATGGTTTCGAGCCAGTTTGTACAGCACATCACGAATCATCCGACTGAGACATACCAAACACGTCTTGTACCTTTTTGCACCACAGAATATACTGGATATATTGTAAATAGATAATATAGATTTATTCTGAAAAAAGTGATTGCTTTGCCCAGTGTGTGTATCTACGTATGTATTTGTACAGAGAAAATCTAGTTTAAAAGAAAAAAAGAATATTATAGTTATTATAGTTACTATTATTCACATTTAATATCGGGGGGAGTCCTATATGTGATAAGAGACAGAAAACAGGCAGCTTTTATAGAATACGTGACATTATTACAGATCTACACTTGCCATTAAATTACCATGTCATGTTACTACAGGATTATTAAGAGATGGCTGCGTGTCATCTGTAAAGGTATGCAAAGGGCTATGCTGTATTGGTGAATACGTACAGTACACCACAAGTCACGCCACACACACACACACACACACGCACTAGCATAACAAACAGCTGCACATGTGATCACACAAACACGCAAACATGCACATGGCTGCCAAAGCAACAACAAATTTAAGCTTAGACTTACCTTTGAAACTGCTTGATTTCTCAAGTCAGTAACCCCACTTTGTTTACTGTAAACTCTGACTTGTACTATACCGCATGACACATTTTTTTGTTTGCTTTTTTTGTTCGCTTTGTTTTTTTCATTTACAGTACACAGGAGGAGTTTGAGTCTACGTTTTCGTTATTATTGTCAGGGCATGTTTGCTTTGTTGATGTCATTTTCTCCTTTCTCTCTCTTGCTCTACTCCCTCTCCCCCCTTCTCTTTTCTACCCTTACCCCTTGCCTTCTCCGTGGTTGTCATGGAGATGCACCAATCTGCATCCTCACTGTGGAGCACTGTCATTAATCTCTGCACCGTCACAATATTTCTATAAAGGAGATTTCTTAAAGATCAACATGTTTACTAAAAGAATTTCTAATTTTTCTGTTTGAAGAGAATGAAAGAATAAAGTAGTTTTTACTCTCAGTCTTGCGTCTCCACGGTGTCTGTGTATGAAGCACTCTCTGCCTTTCTAATGAATTAATTTGCAGCAGGTGTGCAGGGAGGATGGTGGAATGAAGGAGCTTATGGGAAATCAGTCTGACCGGTGTTTCGCTGTCATTCCAGCACACCTGGTCTGAACTCATTCATTAGAGGTCCTTCCACCAAACCCCCTGCCCCCAAAGTAACACTGAATCTGAGGTGTCTGAATGTCATATGCGTCTGCTGTAGTGGTTCTCAAAGATGGGTCCAATGACTTGTGCAGGTACCTGATCCATATGCACAAACCTGTCCATAAAAACTGCTCTAAATTGTGCTGTAGTAATAAAAGACGCATATCTACAGATGGGGACCATTTACAGAAATAATGCTATCATTTGGCCAATAGTAATCTCTTAAAAGCGTCCTTTTGCATTCCTCAGACATCATGGTTCATATTGACATGATATCATTGCATAGTCGCTGCAGATTTGTCAGTTGAAGATCCATGATAAGAATCACCAAACCCCAAATGAGCTCTACACGATTGAAATCTGATGACTGTGGAGGCCATCTGAGTAGAGTGAACTCATTGTCATTGTCAAGAAAGCAGTTTGAGATGATATGAGCTTTGTGACACACACATACACATGGTGCTCAGCTGATACTAAGAGGCTGAAAGTGTCCCA